CTTCTATGGTCACTTTACCCCCTCTCCCCCAATCGCACACGTGTGTCGTGTGTGTCGTTGTGTGTGCGGTGGTGCGTGTGTCGTGTCGTGTCGTGTGTGTCGTGTTGTGCTCACTATTTTTTGGTGGGTCAAACGACAGACAAGGTGAAGGAGGAGTTCAACAAGCTCTACGACGGCGACTGCCGGAGCAGCATGCGGCAGTGGGATTCTCTCGAGCAGTCCAAGCGCGAGGAGCTCATCTCCAAAGAGGAGAACATCATCTTCGACTGCCTCGCCACCTTCGGTACTTCCCCTCTCACCGCCCGACACGACACGACACGACACGACACGACACGACACGACACGACACGACACGACACGACACGACACGACACGACACGACACGACACGACACGACACGACACGACACGACACGACACACGACACGCAATGCTGATGTGTCGTGTGTCGTGTGTGTGCGGTGGCCAGCGTATAAGATGCTCACGCTGGGGACGAGCGTGGAGCTGGTGCGCCGGTTCGTGGGGAAGATGAGCACGGCGGCGCAGCTGAGCGAGGAGCGGACCACCATCATCGAGCAGCTCCTCTCCAACATGACCCGCGCCACCGAACTCACCGCCGAACTCGAGGCCGACTCCCGCCGCAGCTCCCTACGGTTCGCGCCCCACCCCCCGCACTCGCACTCGCCCCTGACTAACACCGCACACGCACACACCGCACACGCACACACCGCACACACATGCGAAGGCCGAACGATGACTTCGACGAGGGCGGAGAGGAGCAGGAGTACATTCCGGTGGCGGGCCTCAACAACCCGCGCCACGACGAGTCCACCGAGGGCCGCAAGAAGTTCGAGAACCTCCTCAAGGCCAAGTCCACCCAGACGCGCGGTTCGCCCCTCTCCTCCCCCTCCCCCTTCCACTCAACTCTCTCTTACGTGTGTCGTGTCGTTGGTCGTGTCGTGTCGTTGGTCGTGTCGTGTCGTGTCGTGTGCGGTGCAGCATTCCTGACGCGCCTGACGGTGGGTCGCGCGGGCACGAGGGACAAGATGACGCTGAACAAGAGCTCGGCGACGGCGCCGTCCAACAGGCGCGGACCCGGGAAGGGCAAGCGGGGCAAGAAGGCCCGGGCCAACAACAAAGGCAGCGACTCGACCGACGACTCGGACGATTCCGAGTCAGACTACTGCGCGGCCGAAGAACGCGTACGCGCATGCACCCCCCCCCTTCTTCCGTGTGTGCGCGTGCGTGTGCGGTGGTGCGTGTGTCGTGTCTGCGCGTGTGCGGTGGTGCGTGTGCGGTGATGTGTGCCACACGCTGACTTGGTGCGTGGCCCATGCTGCAGAACGACTACGTGGTGAAGACGCTGACGGGCCACACGGAGGCGGTGATGAGCGTGAAGATCCACGGCAACGACGTGTTCTCTGGATCCTGCGACGGCACCGTCAAAATGTACGACACACACAACACACACACAACACACACCAACACACGACACGACACGACACTCAACGGCCCGCCGACGATCTGTGCGACAGATGGAACGCGTTCACGGCCAAGTGCACGGCCACCCTGGCCGGCCACACGGGCTGGGTCAACTGTCTCCACCTCGACCACGAGAAGGAGCGCCTCGTCAGCGGGTCCTACGACAAATTCCTCAAACTGTACGTCCCTTCCCGATGTCGCGTGTGTCGTGTCGCGTGTGCGCTGCGTGTGTCGCGTGTGCGGTGTGTGTGTGGTGTTGTGCTAATCAGAGCCGCACGACACGCACGTGCGCATGCAGGTGGGATCTGCATCGGTCGTGCAAGATCCGGTCGCTGACGGGCCACGAGGGTTCGATCTGCTGCATGCAGGGCGACCTGCCCACCGTCGTCTCGGGCTCGTTCGACGGCACCATGAAGCTCTGGGACATCCGCGTCGGTACCACTCACGCCCCCAGTTCTTAGCTCCGACTTGGGGAGGTTTTAACTCCGACCGACGCACACGACACGACACACACACGACACACATGTAGGCAAGAACTCGCAGACGTTCAAGGGCCACAGCGGGCCGGTGGTGTGCCTGCAGTTCCACGACCCCAAGCGCGAAATCCTCAGCGGCTCGCGCGATGCCACCCTCAAGGTACGCATCCGAGGAGCGCACACGCACACACACGCACGCGCACGCGCCGACTGTCGCTCACCTTTTCTGCGTGTCGTGTGTCGTTGCGCGTGTGTCGTGCGCTGCAGCTGTGGGACGCGCGCACGCTCAAGTGCGTGAAGACGTTCTCCGGTCATCGGGATTGGATTCGGTGCCTCCAGTTCGACCCCGCCAACGCAACCGCCTACAGGTACACTTGTCCCCTCGCCCTCAGCTGAGCGCGCGTGTGTTTGCGTGTGTGCGTGCGCGTGTTGTCGCGCGCTGACGTGATGACACGACACACGACGCACACAGTGGATCGTGCGATACGACGGTGAAGAAGTGGAACCTGGAGTCGGCCCAGTGCGAGCTCACCATGACCAAGGGCCGCACTGGCGCCATCAACGACCTCTGCTTCATCGATGGACTCAAAGGTGCGAACCCATTCCCCCCCCCCTAGTGTGCGTGCGCGTGCGCGTGCGGTCGAGTGCGTGCGTGTGCGATCGAATGCGTGTCGTGTCGTGTCCTCGCCGGCGCTCACCGCTTTCTCTCGGGTTGCGCAGTGGACAACGGGAAGGAGAAGATGCCGAAGAAGGGCGGGGCCAACTCAGCCTATCCGTCCATGCGCGGGCTGGTCACCGGCTCGGCCCGTGGCTGCGTCAACGTGTGGAACACCCACAACGGCACCTGCTTCCAGGCCATCAAAGGTACCGCACACGCGCACACACCACCGCACACACACACACACACCACCGCACACACACACACACACACGCAGACATGAATTGACGCGTGTGCGTGCGTGCAGCGGCGCACGCGGACGAGGTGGTGCACTGCCGGCCGGTGGGCGGTACGCGAACGCACGTGGTGACGGGCGCGTACGACGGCCTGCTGCGGCTGTGGGCGGCGGACGAGTACAGCGGCGGCCTGCGGTGCGCGGCGACGCTCGACGGCCACCAGCACCGCGTGCTGTGCCTCGACGCCCACGAGTCCAAGATCGTCTCGGGCTCCTACGACCGCAGCGTGCGCGTCTGGGAGCTCCCGCTCGACCTCATCCCCTCCTGAGCTCTCAGCTGAGGAGTCCTCCTCTCTACGCGGCCCTGTAAATGATAATAGTTTCTTTTCATCAAATTCCTTTCATTCCTTCATTCACGCGCTGGAGCGCTTGAGCGCTTCGCGTTCCTCTTCGATGGTGCCGCCGCGCACGAACGGCTTCGTGGGGAATGCGTAGGGCCGCCACGACCTCGCTTCGTTTTGCTTCTCCTTTTTCTCCGCTACCGCCTCGCCGGCGTCGTCGGCGTCGGCGTCATCGTAGTATGCGAGGGGCAGGAGCGGGTTGGTCCGCGGGTGGTCGTAGACGGTGTTGATGCTCACGTACGACGGGTCGTTGGCCATGCGCCACCGCCGCAGCTGCTCCGCGTGCACCAGCGCGGCCGGCGTCGGTCCGCCGCCGCCCTCGGTCGCGGGCCTCAGCACAAAGGCCGATCGCACACCCCCTCGCTCTTCGTCTTCGCCTTCGTCGTCTTCGTCTTCGTCGTGCCGGGGTCGTGGCGCCGCCGTCGCTTTTCGCTTTCGCTTTCGCTTTCCGTCGTCCGGGCCGTAGCCCAGGCCGGCAGTGTCGAGCTGCGTGCGGGGCTCGATCGCCTCGGCCGCCCCGGGCGTACGCCCGACACCGCCGCCCTCGCTCCACCCGTAGCGTCGCAGTATCCGGCTCCCGAAGCCCCGCGTGTGCCGCTCGAACGCCCCGTAGCGCTCCTCACCCGCCTTCCTCCTCACTCCACGATACGCGCGTCTGTGCCGCATTGCGTGAGTGTATGTACGGCGTGTGCGGTGTGTGCGGCGTGTGCGGTGAGGCGTGTGTCGTGCTGCATACTTTTCGTCGGTGGTGTATTGGTTCTGGGAGGCGCCGTAGAGGTGGTCGTCGTCCCCGCCCGTGCGGTCGTAGTAGTGGGCTGTGTCCAGATCGAACTGGTCCGCGTCCTTCCCCTCTTCGTTCTGGTCGTCCCAATACACCCCGTCTGCGCACCCAAAATCAACCGTCAGCGCGACACACGCCTCACCGCACACGCCGCACCGCACACGACACACAACACGCCGCGCGTGTCACCGCACACGCACACGCGAGGGGGGGGGGTGAGAGGTTACCGGTCCAGAAGACGAGGCCGCTGCCGCCCTTCTCCCACTGGAGTTCGATCTCCTGCTCGTAGAGGTACTCCTCGTGGTCGTCGTGCTGCAGCGCCTCGTGCCGCTCCCACTCCTCGGCCTCCTGCTCCCCCTCCGAGTCCCGGCCTCCGCCCGACTCTGCTCCCCCCCCCTAACATTAGCTGTGCGTGTCGTGCAGTGTGTGCCGTGCGTGTCGTGCGTGTCGTGTGTGTCGGTACCGTCGGGCCACCCGTCGTCGTCGCCGGCTCCGCGTTTGTGGAGGTGGTACTGGTAGACCGGGGCCGGCTTCCTCTTCTTGTCGGCCTCCCCCGCTTCGCTGTCGAACGTATACTCCCACCGGCCTTCACCGTCGTCCGCCTCGTCGTCGTCATGGCCGCCGCCCTGTCATCAGCCACGTCAGCAACACGCGCGCGTGCTGTGCGTGTGCGGTGCGTGCGGCGTGTGTGCGGTGTGTGCGGTAGCGCTGGAATTCAAGGAATGGAGGAGGTTACGTGGCGCGAGTAGTCGAGGTGGACTTCGCCGTAGCGGCGGTAGTCCGACGTGCGGCGCCGGCGGAGGGCGTGGATGCCCAGCTGCCCGATGAGCGACGACGGAAACGCGCACGCCCGCACCCGCTCCTGGATCCACTTCAGCGGCGTCCCCACATTCCCCTGTCGCACGACACACAATCAGCACACGACACACGACACACACCGCACACACCGCACACGCACGACACACATACACCGCACACGCACGACCGCACGCATGGCACACACGCACCTGGGGCAGGAGGGCCTTGGGCGGGTGCAGTTCGGGCATGTGGGCGAGCGAGCGCTGTTCGGACGCGCGGGCCTTGGCGCGGGCCGTCGCCAGTCGCTGTCGGCGGGTCAGGTACCGCCCCCCGCTCCCCTCCTTCCACCACTGGTCGGCCGCTGACGTGGCGCTGACGTCAGCCTGCTCGGCGGCAGCGGCCGCGGTGTCAGCACCGTCGATGGCGGCGGGTTGGTGGTGGTCGGGCTTGACGCGGCGGACGAGGCACAGGCCGGCGCGGGGGAGCAGGGCGCCGGCGCGGTCGGTCCAGTGGCGGCCGTGGTAGCGCCGCCTGAACTCGGCAAAGTCGCGCTCGTCGTAGAACGCCACCACGCAACAGCACGTCTTCTCCGCCGCCGTTGAAGATGAGGACGACGATGACGATGACGATGATGAAGAGGAAGAGGAGGAAGTGGTGGCGTCGTCCTCGGTCGGGGCAGGGCCGGCGGGGGCAGAGGTGGTGCGCACCTCGGGTCGATGGAGGAAGTGGAACACCTTGAACTTGCCCCTCTCGATCCAGTCTCTGCACACCACCTTGCGTTATTCTTTTTTTAACTTATCTATTTATTCACATTTTATTGGTATTTGTGTCAGGTTTATTTGTGTATTTATTTATTTATTTATTTATTGAAGATGGGGGTGGTACGAGAAGAAGAGACGGAGGTCGAGGGACCGGTAGCTGCCGGGGATGTTCTGCACCAGGCCCACCACCACCACCGGCTGGGGCGGTGCCGGTTCGTCAGAAGAAATAGAAGTAGAAGAAGGGGCGGTGGCGGTGCTGGTCGTGCTGACGGCGCGTGGTGGGTGGTTCTCTCCTGCCCCACGCGCTTGTGCACGCACCCGCTGTGCCAGTTCCCTCAGCCTGGCCTGCGCGCCCCCTCCCGTGGCCCCCTTCATGGCTTGCTTGGCTGTGGTTGTACTCCTTCTTCAGCCTTGCTCTCTGCATCTTCCCAACTACTTCCAGTCCCACACTTTAAGGTGTCGCACACGTCATCCAGAATTTTTTATTATTTTGATTTTTTTTGTAGAAGGGGAGAGCTGAGGCTTAGGCGCCCCTGGTGAAGGTGCCACGGCCACGCGGGCTGAACCCGCCGCGACCGCCACGGTCGCCACCCCGGAAACCACCGCCACCACCTCGGCCGCCCCTGAATCCACCGCCGCGACCGCCGCGATCGCCTCCCCGGAATCCGCCACCGCGACCACCCCTGAAGCCACCACCCCTACCACCGCCGGGACCACCGCGCGACTTGACGGGCGTCCTGTTATCGTTGTTGTTTGTTTGTTGTGGGGAGAAAGTGGTGAGCTATTGCGTGACGGTGAATCAGGAGAGTGTGAGAGAGTGTGAGAGTGATGGAGTGGTGGAATGAAGGAGTGGGCTCAGCGGTTGCTTGAGTGTCATCATTCCGCACCGTGGAGGTGCGAAGATAAGGTCTCAAAGATTATTTGTTTATCATTGCCCGAGTGGTGGTGGGTGAGGATAGAATGTAGAGAGTGCGTGCATGCACACGCACACGTGGATAACACGCACGACGAGAAGAGAGAGAGAAGAGGGATAGTGAGGAGTGAAGGAGAAGGAGTACGGTACCTGGGAGCCTTGGGCTTGTCCTCTTCGGTGAACATCTGCTTGTTGAGCAGCGAGAAGGGACCCATGCAGATGGGGTCGCCGACCTTGAAGCTCGTGGCCACGAAACCCTGGTTGGGCTTGACCGTGAAGTACTACAAGCCAGAGATTGGAATGAGATGAACGCTTTCAAGGAAGATTTGAGAGTCATCATGCAAGGGATTGTGCGTACGGGCTCAGTTGTGGAACCGAAGATCTCGTCGACCTTACCGACCTCGACCTTCTCGTGCGTGTAGACGGGGTGGTTGAACTTGGGGACCTTGTCCGTCTCCACCATCTTGTACACCATCTCGCCCTCGCAAGCGTGCGTGAACTTGCCGAGCTCTACATCAATGAAAATGCGCCACAATCGGAGATCAGCCGGCCGCCCAAGGCAAAATTGAGAGAATAGCACGACGCGCTACACTGAAATGAGGGGTCGCGTGCACATGGAAAGCATGCGATTTCGATTTGGCACCAACAAAGTTGAAACAAGTAGCGCATTTCCATTCCAAATTGCAATTGCGGAGTAATGGTGCGGAGGGCGGAGAGGAGAATGAACGAACCAACGACGGTGTCGGGGGGACCCTGTGCGAAGTCGTGACCGCCCCTGCCGCCGCGGAATCCACCACGGTCGCCTCCCCTGAAGCTGCCGCGATCGCCGCCACGGCCGCCGCGGAAACCGCCGCGATCGCCTCCCCTGAATCCGCCACCACCTCGGCCGCCTCGGAACGACATTTTATAAACGTGGAAGGGGGGCTCTCGAATAGGAATGAAGATGAACGAGATGGAGAGAGAGGAGAAGAAAAGGACCAGACCGTGGCGTGCTCCGTCCTTCTCTTCTTTTTCTCCTCGTCGCCCCCAAAGTCCGCCCCATGTGCAATCCCAGTTATTTCCTAATTTTGACTCGAATAAATAAAAGTAAATAAATGAATTATACAGAAAAGATTTATTATGATGAATGAATGTTGATATGTTGGCAAAGCTGAAGTGTGTGTATGATATTATACAAGCTAAGTAAGTAGAAAAAGAAGAAAGAAAGGTCGCGTCTCACCCTCCTCATCAGGAGAGGACGCAGGCCGAGGTGATGGGGTTGGTGATGTAGGTCTGCCGCGGTCGCGAGGACACCACATCGGCGTACCATAAGCCGCTGCTGCTGCCGGACGTCTTCCTGCCGCCGCTGCCGCCGGCTCGCTGCCGCTGCTTCGCGTCAGCCGCCGAGCCGGAGAAGTCCCAAATCTTGATCGTGTCGTCCGCCGCGCCGCTGATGAGCTGGTTATCGCGGAACTTGAGGCTGTTGACCCAGTAGTCGTGCGCCGTGAACGTGTTTATACAGTACGACGGCTCCGCCGTCTTGCTCGCTAGGGATGATGACGACGACGATGATGATGACGACGTCGTTGCCCGGGCCTTGCTTCGGCCGCCCGCTCCGGCGGCGCTCTTGCCGTGCAGCGACCACACCTTGACGGTGTTGTCGTCGGAGCCGGAGACGATCTTGTCCTCGTCGAACTGCAGGCAGCAGACGCGGCCCTCGTGGCCACGCAGCACACGGAAGCACGCCCTGCTGTCGCCTGCGCTGTTGTAGGCCGGACCGCTTCGTCCCGCCTGCACGCCGCCCTCGAGCACTCGCGTGTCCCAAAGCCTGTTGTGCGTTGTGTGAACACGTCGGTCCCAAAAGCTTGTGTGTGTGTGTGCGTGTTGTGTGTGTGTTGTGTGCGTGTTTTGTGTGTTGCGTACCTGATGGTGCTGTCGCGCGAGCCAGTTACCAGGAGGTTCTCCCTGGGGTCCTCCTGCATGCAGCACAGCCGGTCGGTGTGTCCTCGCATCACGCCCACGCAGCCGCTCTTGATATTGCCTGGAATGATCGGCATGCGCGCCACGCACAGATGCGTCAGTAACCAGGCTAGCCGCACAGAGTGACACCAGTGCTCGAGGGCGTTTCAGCTGAGCTTACCCGAAGCGTTGAGGTCCCAGAACCGGATGGTCTTGTCCATGGAGCCGGTGACGACGACATTGCGCGCGGGGTCATACTGGCAGCAGTAGATCGCCGCGTCGTGCCCGGTGAGCGTCTGGGTACACACGCCGGCTTCGACGTCCCACACGCGCACCGTGGCGTCGGAGGAGCACGACACCACGCGGTTGCCCGCCAGCTGCACGCTCCACACGATGTTCTGGTGGCCCCACAGAACTCGATTGCACTTCCTGTTCTTCGTGTCCCACACTGTGTGCGCACACACGCAACAGCCCCGCATGAGCGACCGACCAAGCGCCTCGGTGTGAAGGGTGTGGTGGGGGGGGGGTAAGCGTACGTCGTACGGACGTGTCGTAGGAGCCGCTGACCACGTAGTCGAGGTCGGGCTGGCTGACGTCGTGGTCGATCGAGTTCACCCAGTCGGTGTGGCCCGAGAAGACGCCCGTACATCGTCGCTTGTCGAGGTCCCACTACACGCACGGACCGCGGTGAGATGATGGCCGGCGAGGCAATGACACCGCACACGATACAATGGAGAGAGGGGGAGGCGTGTACGGTGCGGATGGTGCCATCGAGCGAACAGCTGGCAGCTGATCTGCCGTTGGAAATGACGCTCATGACCGCCAGCGTGTGGCCGCGCAGCGTACCTACGTAGTTGGGCTTGCCCCGCCAGTTCTTGCCCTTCTTCATCCGCTCGGCGAAGGACCCGCGCCAGTCGACCTCGTCGTTCACATCGCCCGCGCGAGAAGTGGACCGCCTGCACAAGGCCGCGGCCTTGCTGACGACAGCCGGTGAGGCCGGCGTCGAGGAGAACGGGGACGACGGCAGCGAAGAGGCGGAGACGGTGGGCGACGAGAACGACTCGGTGAAGCACTCGAACGTGCCCTTGTTGACCTCTTCGTCGTCATCTTCCGCGTCGTCGTTGTCGTTGAGGTCGTTCTCTTCCTCGCTCGTTTCATCGTCGCACAGCTCCCGCTGAGCTGCGGCGGAAGGGGCGGCCGCAGAAGTAGAAGAGGATGACGACGACGACGATGCCGAAGCTGGTCTGGCGTTTTCGTCGACAAGGGCATCGCCGCTGTCGGTCCGCACCATGCGGGGCGAGAAGCCCAGCTCGTCCCCCGACAAATAGGCCTTCGACGCCAGCACGGCCTCGTCCTCCGAAGCAATATCGCTGCCTGCACTCGCGCAGAGAGTCGAAGAAAAGCTCGTGAGCTATCGGCGAACAATCACACGCGTGCCATACCGTGTGTGTGTGTCGTGTGTCGTGTGTGTGTCGTGTGTATCGTGTGTGTGTTGTGTGGGTGTGTGTTCAGGTTACCTTCATCGCCGCTGTCGTCGCCCTCGTCGCCGCTGTCATCGCCGCTATCATCGCCGCTGAGGTCAGCGTCGTCCTCCAGCTCGGAGGCAGCATTCCTCTGCGGCGGAGGAGTGAGCTGCGATGCATCGTAGATCGCTTCCTCCTCATCTTCTTTCTGCGTCATCAGCGCTTCTTCTCCCTTCGTCGGCTTCTTGCCGGTCGAGTAGAGGGCCAAGGCCGCGTCCGCTTTCTCGAGCGTGGGGATGGTGCGGAGGGCGTCCAGCAGCGCGGGACCCACACGAAGCACCACGGGCGACGCAGCGCTGCCGCCGGGGCACTTGGGGTGCGGCTGTCGCAAGCGCAGGCTGAGAGATGGAGCGTTGGTCAGCCATTGCTCGCCAATTCACAAAGCTCTGGGTTCGTGTAGAAATGATGAAGAAATGGAGAGATGTAGGAAGGAGAGAGGAAGAGAGGATGGTCTACCTGTGGCCTCTGAAGGCATCATAGTCGACCTTCTCGCGCATGGAGCTGGGTAGATTGATCCATTGCTTGGCGTAGAGATCCTTCCACAGGCCACTGTCGCTTGCGAGGCTGTGCCACTGCTTGCACACGCGCGAGACGCGCCAGCACAGATCGCGCACCGAGAGGTAGCCGAAGATGGAGATGATCAGCTCATTGGGCAAGATGTAGAAGAGCGAGAAGTCGCTGAATTCGAGGTAGTCCTCTCCGTTTCCACTCTCCATTCCTTTCGATCAACCGAACTTTGTGATGATGCCTTCGGGCCTCGTTCTGTCGATACAGGCACCTCGTGCCCGAGATGGGAGGGATGGAGGAGATGGAAGAAGGAGAATAGAGGAGATGGGCTAGATGGAGAGTTTGTACAGGGAGGAGAAAAAGAGAAAGAGCAAGAGAGACCGTGGGAGATTCAGGCGCCTAAATCCAACCAATCCACAACCAAAACCAGCAAACCAACAATTCGTCGAGCTGAAGTACAAGATCGAACCGAATGCTTTCAACCGACTTTGCCCAACCTTCCCCGCCTTATCCCTCTTCGCTCTCCCGCTCTCCGCCTGCTGCCCTTTCGCCAATTCAAGAATTTAAACTATTCATGACCATTCGTGTATTACATTCCTCGAATAATTCATTCATATATTCGTTTATCTGCTCTGATCCGTCACAATCGTCTGGTGGTGGTCTGGCGACGAAGAAGAAGCAACGCCACGGCCCGAGGCCACCACACCGATGATCGTGTTCGTGTTGTTGCCCTGTTGCCCCAGGTCACTGCGCCTTGACCTTGGTCGTCGTCGTCGTCGACGCGGAGGGCTTCTCTCCACGCTCTTCGAACCGGCGCAGGAGGCCCTGGTTGTGGGCCACCAGCAGCACGGCGCAGCCGATGTGCGCCCACCAGCCGAGACTGTTCCACGCGCGGATCGAGCACGAGAACTCGAGCACCAGGAAGGGGAACATGCAGAACGAGATGCTGGTCTGGGTCAGCACCCAGCTCGCCACGTCGTAGATCGGCTTGAGCGCGCTCGGTCGCTCCACCGCCGGGGTGGCGGCGGCGGGCTTGGCGGGCTTGGCCTCCTTGGCCTTGCCCACGGGGCTGTCTTCGTCGGCGGTCTCCTTGACCACGGCCGTCGCGGCGATGGGTTCCGGCTTGAGGAAGAATCGATGCCTTAGCACGGCGCGCAAGATCCGCGCGGCCTCGACCACGAAGGCCATGCTGCACGCAGGGAAGAAGAAGGTGAGAACCAAGTACAAAGCTTGTACAAGGGTGGTATCACTGCTGCGATGGTGGCGAGCTGGGGCGTACCTGCCGAAGCCGAGGTAGTAGCCGGGGTAGAAGCCGTGCCAAAAGGCACTGAGCAGGTTGGTCAGGAGTGTGCTGTACCACGGCCTCTTCGTGATCTTGATCTTCTTCAGCGTCTTCTCATCGAATACCTTCGCGACCGACACAATTAGTAATAAACTCAAGAGTCAAGGTAAACGCCACACTGGCGCGTCGGCAGGGCAGTTAAACACACGCGTACCTCGACGGTGTAGAACGAACGAAGGTAGACGTAGTTGTAGAGCCATTGCTGCACCTGTCGGTTCCACGAGGCGATGCATACGCGCGGGGACTGGCCATACAGCTCCCATCCGAGCACGTCCACGTTGTTGAACCGATCCCACTTGATCTGCAGCAGCAGCAGCACTTGAGGCGTGAGTCACGATACAGCGCGCGTGTGTACGCACGCAGCGTATGTCTGCGTTGCAGCGACGATAGTGATGAAAGTGGCAGACGTCGGCACCTCCTCCTTGCCGGTGCGCGCGTTCTTGACCTTGCCGTTGTAGCCGATACCGCAGGCGATGAAGCTGCCCTCTGCAATCATGCACGCATTGAAAATCGCGATTCAGTGCCTCTTCGTTACAGCTGATGCGAAGCCAATGTGGGTACCTGACAGCAGCCAGGCAAAATAGAACGAGAACCGGGCCGCCAACAGGGAGAGCCACATGTAAGCAAACCTACAACAAGCACGACAGCGTGAGATAATCCAGCGTTCAGAGATCACTCTTGGCCTGGGCGTGTTGGAGCGCGCGGAGAGGGGGGGCGACGTACTTGAAGGCGAACCCGTGGACGTAGTAGTCATCAGTACACATCCAGGGGATGGGCATCATGCCCGAGATGGGCGCGGCGACGGCCAGACAGAGCACAGCCTGGCCGATCTTCACGATGGTGGGCATCACAGTCGATGGCGCCTCGCCCTTCGGATACAGCGTGCCCTCGATGAACCTGTTGTCGGCCCAGCCCAATCATTCGCCGAACAATTAGTCGGGCGTAAGGTCTGGTGTGCGTGTCGTGTCGTGTCGTGTCGTGTCGTGTCGTGTCGTGTCGTGTCGTGTCGTGTCGTGTCGTGTCGTGTCGTGTCGTGTCGTGTCGTGTCGTGTCGTGATGCGTAGCATACCTCTTGTAGTCGGCGAAGTAGATGTGAGGACCCGCCAGGAACGACGGGAAGAAGTAAATGTAGCCGATGAACTCGAGGAGCGACGGCAGCTCCTTCACCCGCTTCTCCTTCTCGTGAGCGGAAAGGTCCTACGGTGTCGGCGAGGCCAATGGGGTTGAGGTGTTTGCGCCGTGTGCCGTGTGAGTGTAGGCTTAACTCCGCAGGGGTAGGTCAAGGGTCATGATTACCTCCTCGGCGCGATGCTTGGCGTCGCTGAGGTTGAACGCCAGCGTGGTGAGCTTGATGGTGATGATCATCTGGGGCCGAGTAAAGTCCAGATGCCAGTCCATGTACGAGTAATACATGCTGCAGGTCATGACCCGCACAGAACACGCGCCACCACCACCGCACACGTACACACGCGCGCGACACAGACAAACACACACGAGGCCAAGTCAGTCACACAACTCTTCGCGCGTGGGAGGGCCAGGGAGAGCCGTGCCTGTAGATGTGGGAAGCAGCGACGTAGGCCATGGCGTAGACGAACATGATCTTGCCGCAGGACGTGGAGCGGGCCAGGCCCAGGAGGATGGCATAGCCCACCAGCGACGACACCAAGCTGTGGAGGAGGTCCCAGCCGAACAGCCACACGCCGAACAGGACCGACGGCACGATGGAGTACAGGTGGCGCACCACCAGCGCCGCCGATGAAGGCGAAGACGACCGACGACGACGACGAACTGCGGAACGCGGCATCGCCGGCGGCGGGGCTGTTCTGGCCGAGGAGGCGGAGGAAGAGGAAGCCGAGCGGGTAGTTGATGAGGAGGCACAGCACCATGGCGAGCTGGTCGGCCGGGAAGCCCACCAGCACGCTGAGCGCCGCCAGCTGTTCGTCAACCCAGGCCAGCATGCTTACTAAGATAGTGCTTCACCGTGCGACGACGGGCAGCTGCCAAGCTTGGCGCAAAGTGTTCGTAGAGGTGATAGATAGCTGTCGGCCTCCCGCGGCACCAGTGGTCTATCTATCCGTCTTCAGACTGTGACCCTCCCCAAGAGAAATCATGAATGAAATGAGCGAGAGATTTTATAATGAAATGAACATAAAGAAGGGAATGGAGAGGGCGATCGATATTGAAAGAGGGGACTCGAACACAGGCTTGATGCGAGGTTGGGCCCACGTACCTCGTTTCTGGATGTGAGCCGGACCGCTTCCGCTACGTTGGCCGAGTGTTCTTTTTTGAGCAATTTCAAACACGACACAAGCACGGAATGTGCGGAATGCGGCGACCGACGTCAGCAATCGCGTTTCGGGCCGAAACCACCGGCCGGTGCCATGGCGCTGGAGGCGTAGTTTTGGGAATCCTTGGCCACCACCATTAACCAGAACACCGGGACCACCTGGCACTGCGCGGCAAAGCGAGCGGTGAGCGTGTTGTGCGAGGGGCATTCTCGCAACACAGCTTCGCGCACCACGCAGCCATGGCTCACCGTCGTGGAATGGTACGCCACTGTGCCGTGCTTCGTTCTTGTCCCCCCCCCAAACCACTGCCCGAGCTTGGTCCCAAAGTGCGAGTTTGACCGCGCGCGATGATCTTACTTTAGTTATTGAACACACATGTACAGGACGCTGGGTGCCTGGTGCTCCTCTTCGTCGTTCTCTCCGCCCTCTGCGCGGACTCCGCTGCCCACTCCAACATGCAAGGCCCCCGAGGTACGGCCCCACCTTTTTTTCTTGGTCGCCTCACGACAGCTCCGAATAATGGGCTGTCGTGCCGATTGGGCGAGATGTGGTCGAGATGTCCAATAGCGGCTTTCGGCCTTGTAGATGGTGGCACATGTGCTGATTTCGGTTGGTCTGTGTTTGTTTATTGTTCCATATCTTGCGCTGGTGGTGTGGTGTGATCACAACGCAGGGCTCAACTTGGGCGGAGTGCTGGGGCCGCTGGTGGACCAGGTCGGCCAGATTCTCACGGGAACGGTCAACGGCACGCTGGGCACCGCCGCCAACATCACCGGCTGGACCGGGGCCAATACCACCGCACCGACCAACCCGTGCACCTGGACCGGCATCACCTGCAACGCCCTGGGCAACATCACTGGCCTGTACATGCCCACCAACCCACATCGCCCTTCTGCCACCCTTTCGCTCTCTCACACCCACTTCTTCTTCTTCTTTTTTGGGTTGTTGGTGTGACGTTGCAGTGTCCTGGACGGGCTCGCGCTGACTGGCGCCATTCCCAGCGGTCTCGACGCGTTGGCAAACTTGACCACTCTGTACGTCATGGCCCCAGCTACCGACACTTCAAACACACCAGCAAGAAACGATTAGTTTGACTTCGTTTCGGTTTCCCAGTGATCTGTCCGACAACAATTACAACGGAACCATTCCCGACCTTTCAGGCTTCACCTCTCTTCTCAACCTGTACCGCCCCCCTCGCCTACGATCAATGCTTCCCTCGGTTTGGTGACACGGACACACACACATATGTCGACCACAGGGATTTGTCCGGCAATGACCTTACGGGCGCCATCCCCTCACTCGCCAACCTCACCCAGCTCCTGCACCTGTACGCTTTCAACCCCCCTCTCTTCCAAGAGGCCTCCACGGTCTTATCGCTTTCGCTCTTTGACAGGGACCTCTCCGGCAATCTGCTGAACGGCACCATCCCCTCCCTCGACAACCTCACCTCCCTCCTCACTCTCGACCTTTCGAACAACGCGCTCGAGGGCGTCATCCCTTCGCTCTCCTCCCTCATCTCGCTCATCTCCCTGTAAGTCCACCCAACATCACACGCACACGCACACGCACACGCACACGCACACGCACACGCACACGCACACGCACACGCACACGCACACGCACACGCACACGCACACGCACACGCACACGCACACGCACACGCACACACACCCCGTGCTGACACCGTGTTCGTCCGCGGTTGTGTCCAGGGACCTGTCCAACAACGCGCTGACGGGCTCGATCGCCGACTTGTCGGCCCTCACCTCGCTCGAGTACCTGTACGTGCCGCGCACCCACCCACGAGAGACCACCCCACAATCTGACCCAATCACATAACTCCCTGCACTAACGTGATCATGTGATTGGTTGATTGGTTGGTCGGCGGGTGTTGCCTCGCAGCGACCTGAGCAACAACAACCTCGAAGGCACCATCCCCGATCTGAGCGCCCTCCGATCTCTCCGCTACATGTACGAACCGCCTCCCCACCGGCAACAAGTCGACTTGTTGAACTGACCTGAATCAACGGCTCAGTAATTTGAGCGGCAATAACCTGACTGGCGAGTTCCCCGACCTCTCCCAGCTCTCCAACCTCACCACCCTGTACGCCACATCGCCCGCCCCTTCCCCCTTCCCCCTCGATCATCAATTGACGCACGACGACACGTTGCAACGCACGCAGTATCGTGTCGGACAACTTGGAGCTGTTCGTGCTCGGCATTCCGGCCACGCTCATCGACGGACTCACTTCGCTCACCACGCTGTACGCTCTCAGCCACACACTCACCCCGGCCCCTCAAAGCAAAGCCTCAATTATCAACTCATCACGCTGTCTTCGCTGTGGTGTGGGTCGCGATCAGCGTTCTGGACAACACCGGAGCCACTGGCCTGCTCCCCAACTTCGTGCTGGGCGCGTTGCAGACCCTGTACACGCACCAACCAGCTTTTATTCTTTTTATCTCATTTATTTACGCTTCTTATTATTATTTTTTCTTATTATTGTCATTTTAGGTCCGACTGACTGCCCGTTATGACTCTTTCCAGGTCTATTGAGAACAACCTCCTGTGCGGCGCGCTCCCCTCGGTCCTCTCGCAACCCGTGGCCGGCCTCAACTTCGCCGCCGGATGCAACTGGTGCCGTGTTCCTCCTCTAGCAACCCCGCCCTCCCAATTGATCTCACCTCCGTTTCTTGTGTGGTGTGTGTGGTGTCTATTCAACAGCTTCTTCGAGTCGTGGTGCTCGGCGAACAACGGCCCCTGCTCCAACTTCGTGGCCAACAACAGCGCCGCGTGCGACACGTCGCGCTGCGCCAGCGTCGGGTGTCTCATCCCGACCCCGTCTTCCCCCACCGGCTCCATTCTCAAGTTCGTCAACAACTTGCCCAACTTTCTCTGGTACTACACGACACGACACACACCGCACACACCGCACACACCGCACACACCTCACACACCTCACACACCGCACCGGCACGACGAGAACTATCAGTTTACGAATGTGGTGGTGTGGCTGAACGTGAACAGGGAGCACCCGGCGCCATCCGCGCAGGCCGGCAGCGATGTTACGCTGCAGGTCGGGCTGGTGTCGCTCGCCGAAATCGACGAGCTCGGCGCCGTCATCCACACCGAGCCGTTCCCGGCCGGCGGCAGCTACAGCATCAGCGTCAACGCGTCGGTCCGGTCGAACGGCGCCACGGTCGACGAGATCACGTTCCGGGCCACGCTGGCCAACGGCGCCGAGGTGGCCATCGCCTACGTGCTCTCGCCCGATTCGGCCTTCACCCAGCCGTGGGGCGAGATCGCGGTCACAGTGCCGCGCAACCACCTCAAGTACACCTTCAACGCCCGCCGGTGGCCCTTTGCCGGCGCGGCCCACCGCCTGCGGCTCGCGATGAGCCTGGCCTCCCACCCCCTGGTGGGCTCGGCCGACCGCGTCGACGACGCCGCGGCGGCCACGTCCAGCCTGAGCCTACACGTGGCCAACTCCACTGCTGACGTCAGCGTGGGCCTGTACGGCTTCGCCCTGGTCTACAGCGCGCAGGAGGCCGATGACTCGCTGACGGCGCCCACCGGCGCCCATCGCTCGGCCAACGTCACCGCGAGCCTGTCGGCCGACTTTGGCTCCATTCTGGTCGATTTCCCGTCGTTCGACGCCGCGACCGAGGTCCTGTCATACGACCCGTCGTTCGGGGTGCTCTACGGCGGCGTCAACACCCGCGACGACGGACAGGGCGGCTCGTCGGACGGCAACACGTGGGTCATCGCCGTGGCCGTGGCCGTTCCCGTGGCCATCGGTACGAACTTCCTTCCCCGTGTGCCGTGTGTGTGTGTGTGTCGTGTGTGCGTGTGTCGTGTGCGTGTGTCGTGTGCTCAAAGTGTCACTGAGCTCACCCGAACGATTGGTGCGCACAGTGGTGGTGCTGGTGGCGGTGGTGGCGGTGTTCGGTGTGGCCTGGTGGCGCCATCGCTCCTACGACCGAAGGAGTCGCATCTATCGCGGCTCCATGATCAACGTGGGACCCGACGAGGGGCTGTAATAAGTACGCTCTTGCTATCGATCTCAGTTCACAACGCGCATGTTATTGCATGTGCGGTGTGTTGTATTGGAGCTGTAGATAACATGACAAGAACAGCTGTTCTTATCTTCCCGTGTTCAGTCGTTCCCACCGTCATCACGTCTTCGCTCGACTTCATTCCCATCGGCGGTCGGCGATGTCGGTGTCGGCGAGGCCGAGGTGGTGCTTGGTGTGAGGTCTGATGATGAGGTGGTGGTGGTGATGATGAGGTTGTCGGTGGCGGCGTAGGTCTTGAGTGGCGTGGCCGCCACGTTCCCCCCAGCAATGGGCAGCAGGGCCTTGCGCTCCCCGCGCTCCTCCTCCTCCACTCCGACCCCGTACTCATCGTCGTAGTCATTGTCCGCCGTCATCTTGCCGGCGGCCTTTCGTTCCAGCACCCGCGCGCGGTCGGGCTGCAGCGCGAGGCTGAAGCGCGCAGGTCGAGGTAGAGGCACACCCCGTAGAGCACCACACACATGCCAAAGCACACGTCGACCCAGATGAGCCACTCGTAGGGGCGGGCCACGAACAGCTGCGCCACCGCCACGATTCCGAAGCCCAGCATGGCCACGATCCACAGGTTGATCTGCCCCAAGACGCAACGCCACGTCAGCAAGTGGAAGGTGATGATGATGGTGGTATGTACCCGGCCGAGGAAGAGGTGAGCCAGCTTGGCCAGGCGCTCTCTACGCTGGGGGTGGGCGGGGTCGGTCCAGAAGACGCGGTGTGGGACAAAGGGCAGTCGCGGCCAGAGCTGCCCGACGGCCAGGCACACCACGTAGGTAGTCACGCTGACGACCAGCAGGAAGATGAACCCAGGCTCTGGTATGCCAACAGAGATCAGCAGAGCCGAGTGTGGTGCTCAAGTGGGGGATGGTGGGTCGGTACCATCGGGATCTGTGCGGTAGTAGATGGTGAGGCCGATGTAGGCCAGGATGATGGCCGCGCTAGCCCACCACTCCAAGCCACTTCGCACGGAAAAGTACATCTCTCGCAACTCTCTTATTTTATTTACCACCTATTATTCGCTGCTCTATGCTTGCTCATCTACTACGACGAGTCGTGTGGCCCCGAACGAACTTATGTCTTCTTCTTTTCCCACCACCTTTCCTCAGCAGCGGGCGGGCGGACGGACGCGAACTCCCCCGTCATGGCCTAGGCCCAGGAAAAGGGAAAGGCCGGTGTTGTGGGGTGCTCTATTTTTGTAGACCTCGCTGGTGTTGGGGACGTGAGGCCGAGGTCGGGTTCTTTGTTCCCGCCCGTAGATGAGCCTCCTTCATCTGCGGATCAGGTCCCAGCCCCACCTTTCGGAGGAGCCGCTCTCTGTTGTTGCTGTTGTTGACTCTCGACGTGCTGCGTTGGACCGACCACAAGAATAATCTCAATCGCTGGAACGTTTCGCTACGCGATTTCGAGGGGTCCATCTTCATCTCTAGATCCCCAAATCGGCCGATATACGCGGCGGCCAAGGCCATGACGATCAAACAACCAACACATCCCTCCATCTTGGGGCTCTCTCGCGCAGTTCTTCTCCTGGCGCTCATCGGGCAATGCCTCTTCGCCATGCAGCCCTACAGCGAGCGAACAACGAGCCAGGCCTCCCATACGGGCGAGCTCCTGCCCCCAGGCCGCCTCCGCATCATGGTGGTCAGTGTCCACCCGCCCTACGGCGGCGGATCGGCCCACTCTAGCAAGGAGCTGGCGCTCGGGCTTCGACGATTGGGCCACGACGTGCTCCACGTGGCGCCCTACAACCACGACAGGGAGGAGTCGCTCGCCCAGGAGGAGGGCCTCCACTGGATCAAGGCCGATTTCCCCTGGAATGAGCTCTCCATCTCCGCTGAGGCGCAAGCGTCGATGGACGCCGATCTCCAGGCCGTCTACCGCAAGCACGGTCCGTTCGACTACGTCATCCTCGGGCGAGAGACGTTCGTGTGGCACATGCACGCCATTCGCGAGGTGCACGCCGGCCCGGTGATGCTCATCGTGCGCGGTGCCTACATCAATCGCCTCGCGGGAAACACCAACGAGACCATCGATCCGCAGCTCAAGGAGCAGCTGGTGGGCCTGTACCGTGAAGCCGACGTCATCGTGTGCATCGCGCGCCATCTCGTCAAGTCCATCAACAAGGTCATCTTCGACGACGACCTCGAGCGTGCGCGCACCGCCTTCATCCCCAACCCCATCGAGCTGCCGGCCTACGACGCCTCCAGCCAAATGCGGTGGCAGCCCGGCCAGACCATTCGGTTGGCCATGGCTGCGCAGATCAAGGGGCGCAAGAAGCCGCTCGACGCCGTCGAGATAGTGCGCGAGCTGCGCGACAGGGGCGCCGACGTCGAGCTCACCGTGTACGGCGACGGGCCGGACATGCCCCGCATGCGCGCCCTCATCGAGCGATACGGCCTCGAGAAGCAGGTAGTGCTCCGCGGCCACGTCACGCGCGCCGAGGTGCTCGAGGGCTTCAGCCGCGCTGAGACCGTCCTCCTGTGCTCCGACAATGAGGGCTGGCCGCGCGTGCTGCAGGAGGCCATCGCCGCCGGCAAGGGCGTGGTGGCCTACGACAACATCGGGTCGCGCGAGGTGCTCAAGGAGTGGATCACCCCGTGGGCACTCGGTCGGCTCGTGCCCATTGGAGATTTCAAGGGCGCCGCCGATGCCGTCGCCGACCTGGCCCACGTCCTGCGATCCTCCAACGAGCCCATTCCGCCTCCGGATCTGCCCAACTCGCTCGCGGTCCTGCGCGAGTACGAGTACACCCTCCGCCATCTCGACTCTCATCTCTAGAGCTGCTGGTGGTGGTGGTGGTGGGCGCCATCGATTCAACGTTTCGACGGCCTACGAGGGCTGACGTGGAGGAGAGAGAAGAGATTTTGATTAGGAAGGAGGAGTGATGGCTTAGAGTACAGTCAAGACCGGAAAGAGATTCGAGGAGACGGAGGAAGAGGAGGAGGAGGAGGAGGAAGGAGGAGAGAGGGAGAGAGGTGGTGAGGGCAGGAGAGCGAACAAAGCAGTGAACTGTTCTGTTTCGTCCCTCCTTCCTTGCATCGCCTGCTGCTCTGTGGCTGGCGCGTGAAGATCGTCTCTGGGGCCGTGGCTGCTGCCTGCTCGACTACAGTCTCAACACCAGAAGTGCGCTCCGCACTCTCTCGGCGAGTCTCGGCGCTCGAGAGTCGTAGAGGTGCTGCATGGTCTTCTATCTCTCTTTCATCCTAGATCGTACCAAGGTTATTTATGTATCTTCACCCAACCCTGCTGTATCAGCAAACCATCACAAACAATAACACTACGGGCGCCCAGATATCTGGACAACCACAACACAAGCTCAACCCCATTGGTGTGTGCTCTTCCTTTTTGCCCTGGCCAGCAGTGTTGCGTCAAGGGTCGCGTCATTCTCGCTTTCTTAGCTCGCGAAAGGAAGGCTGTCGTTTTCGCTTTTTCTCTTTCGCTTTCTCTCTTTGTTCTCGTGACGAGTTCTGTCGCGGAAAGCGTTTTCATTTCGTGTGGTGGTCCTGACTCTCGGCTGTAAGGCACCGCTCGCGTTGCTCTACAGTTTTGCGGAGCGAGAAGAAAGCTGTACAGCTCTTTGGCCCTCCTTCTTAGATCTATTTCCTAGCACCACAAACACCACAAACGCCATGGCCAACTTCTCCAACCCTGAATCCGTGACCGCCGCCATCGCCGAGGTCCTCAACTCCACTGCCAGGAGCGGATGGTATTATATTACTTCTACCCCCTTCCTTGGCCCCTCCATCTTCTTCCTTCCGATCTTTGAATGCTCACACATCCTTCACTAGGGTGCTTGTGGGCTACGAGAACGATTCGTCGCTCGTCCTGCAGGGTAAGGGCACCGGTGGCCCCGAGGAGGTGAGGGATCACCTTCAGGACGACAAGGTGCAGTACTTCATCGTGCGCGTCTTCTACCCCAAGGACAACGCCGAGACCACCCGCGACGTCTTCGTGGCCTGGACCGGCCCCAAGGTTGCCCGCGTTGCCGCCGCCAAGAAGGCCACCCACGCTGGCGTCGTCCAGAGCGTCCTCAAGGTACGAATCGATGATCAACGAATTTGTGTAGCGCGTTGTCAATGCTCACGCCATTTTTGTTTTTCTTTCTTTGCAGCCCTCGCACGCGCAGATTACCTGCGTGAACAAGAACAAGCTCACTCTCGGCGAGGTGCTCGACAAGTCTGCCCCCCTCTCCGGCTCGCACCACATCGAGTAAACCGCTCGATCCCCCCATCAAATCTCGTTGCTACTTTCTTTCAACCAAGAATAGATTCGTTCTTTGTAATCCCCCGCAACACAAACGTTCCTTCACTCTCTTTCGTCGATCTGGTTGCGATCACCGCTCGATCGAAAAGGAAGATGAAGAAGAAAAGAAAAGAAAAGAAAAGAAAAATGCCGCGCATAGTTTGGGAAACCCGAGGGCAGAAAGTGGGTTGTTGTCGACACTAATAAAAGTGGTTAATTTTGCAAGGGTTGCCTTGAGCGGACACTAGAACATAGCAAAGAGAGATCAGAGTCAAAGGAGGAGGGCGTTAAGGAGTGAAGTGGACCACTTGTGAAACAACCTCAACTTCACTGCTGAGGGTACGCATGCGCAATCTCTGCATGACCGAATGATGGTTGCTTAGACTTTTTTTTGTTGTTATTTTGCAGGATATCTGAATCTCTTTCATCTCAAGCCTCCAACACAATGGTACGCAAATCGTTTGTCAATCTTGTCTTCAATGAATGAAGATTTCATCCTTTTTTTGCTTCCATCTCGATTTCGGTTGCAATTCATCGAGTGCCAGGCATTATGACGCCTTCCTTACATCATACGCCCTCCCCCTCCCCCCTCTCACGAACCTCTCAATCTTCAAACATGGCAGGCCTTTCAACATGGAGTGGACGATCTCATCCTTCTGGACGACATCAGCAACGAGGGAATCCTGAACACCCTCCGCTCACGCTACAACGCCAACCTCATCTACGTGCGTAGCTTGCTTCTCTCTCTCACAACTCGCTTCCTCTCTTCTCTCTTCTCTCTTCTTCTCTTCTTCCACTTGCGCGCATCCTGATCCCTTCGTTGTCGTTTGTCGCGTTACACGTCTGGGTCGGGTCGTGCAGACATACATCGGACAGGTGCTCATCGCCATCAATCCGTACCAGCAGCTGCCCGTCTACGGCCCCAACGTCATCAAGAGCTACCAGGTAACGCACGACACGCACGCGCACAACGCACGCACACACACCATCGCACACGCACACGCACCATCGCACACGCACACGATGGCGTGGGCTGGCTTCTCCTCCTTGCGTGCGGGGCCTCGGCCACGATTTTCTTTCTTTTTCTCACCCAACGGCGGCGATGACGCAGGACCGCTACATCTTCGAGGAGCCCCCGCACGTCTACGCCATCGCCGAGGACGCCTATCGCTCGCTGCTCACCGAGGGCGTCAACCAGTGCATCATCATCAGGCACGGCTCCATCATCATCACCATCACCACCACCTCTTTGCCTGTGCCTCCTCGTCTTCCCAAGCGCGTGTGACTGATGACGATGGCTCGCTTGATGTGCGGCCACACACACAGTGGTGAGTCCGGGTCGGGCAAGACGGAGACGTCGAAGTTCATCATGCGCTACATCGCCGCGGTGACGGGCAAGACGGAGAGCGTGGAGACCGTCAAGGACCAGATCCTCCAGTCCAACCCCGTGCTCGAGGTGCGCCGCATGCCCATGTGTGGCCCACACGGTGACTTTAGCTCCGATGCTCACCCTTTAGCTCCGAACCGCACCACTCCACGCACCACCCACCACCAACGCGAACAGGCCTTCGGTAATGCAAAGACGGTGCAGAACGACAACTCGTCGCGCTTCGGCAAGTACTTCGAGATTCAGTTCAACGTGGCGGGCGATCCCATCGGCGGGCGCGTCACCAACTACCTCCTCGAGAAGTCGCGCGTGGTCCATCAGGCCCGCAACGAGCGCAACTTCCACATCTTCTATCAGCTCCTCGAGGGCGCCTCCCCTGCCGAAAAGCGTACATCACGCCACGCCACGCCACACCATTCATTGACTGTCGCTTTCTTCGCTCTTTTTCTCAACACGCGCCTTCTTCGCTCTTCCCCCCCTTTGATGCGCGCAGAGGAGTTCTTCCTGTCGAAGCCGCAGGACTACCACTACCTCAACCAGAGCGGCTGCTTCACCGTCAGCGGTGTCGACGACAGCTCCGAATTCCGCGCCACCAGGGTACGTCGCTCACTTGCCGTGTCACACGCGAGTGCTCGTGTCCACCCGTTTGCTGATGTTTTTCGGTCTACACGGCGTGTTCCGGAACATACACACACACACACGACACACAAAACACAACGCACACACAGACGGCAATGAACGTGATCGGTCTGGGCGCCGAGGAGCAGAAGTCGGTCTTCCGTCTGGTGTCGGCCGTGCTCCACCTGGGCAACATACGTTTCGCCGACCAGGGCGGCAAGGCCAAGGTCGAAAACAGGGAAGGTAACTGTCTTCTTCTTCTTCTTCACACCACCTTTTCTCGTCGCGCGCCTTGTGTCGTGTGTCGTGTGGGCTGTCATCGGCGGCGTTGCTGACCACGTGACATCCTCCGCTCAGAGCTGGACGTCGTCGCCAAGCTGCTGCAGCAGGACGCGGGAGTCATCGAGCACGCCCTGATCTCGCGCACCGTGACCGCGGGCGTCGGCGGACGCGGCTCCGTCCACTCGGTCCCGCTCGACGTCGAGAAGGTGCGTGTCGTTGGTCGTGTGCGTGTCGTGCTGGGCATGGGGCTCACCTCCTCCCGCCCGCGCGCATGGCAGGCCCTCTACACGCGCGATGCGTTGGCCAAGCACCTGTACAGCCGCGTGTTCGATTGGCTGGTGCAGCGGATCAACGAACTCATCTGCGACGACACGGCCGAGTTCACCATTGGCGTGCTCGACATCTACGGCTTCGAAATCTTCGAGGTACCTACCTCCGCCTCTTCTTGGTTTGTTGCTTTCCGATTCGTCTCGCTCACATACAACGACACACGACACACGACACACAACACACACAACACGCACACCGCACACACACACACACACACACCACAGAACAACTCGTTTGAGCAGCTCTGTATAAGTACGCAGCATTCGCATCCACGCACACACACGCGCGCATACAAATTGTGTGGCCGTGCCTCTGTTTACTGATTCGAAATGGCCTGCGGCACAGACTTCGTGAACGAAAAGCTGCAGCAGATCTTCATCGATCTCACCCTCAAGACCGAGCAGGAGGAGTACCAGGACGAGGGCATCAAGTGGGAAAACGTCGCCTACTTCAACAACAAGCCCTGCGTCGAGCTCATCGAAGGCGTACGTTTTTATTTTGTTATTAATATTTATTATTTTTTAAACACTAAATATTAATTCGTTATTGATAAACAATTAATTAATTAATTAATCATTTTTTAAAAAAATCGCAGAGGAATGGAATCATGTCCCTCCTGGACGAGGAGTGCGTGTTCCCGCAGGGCACGGACCAGTCCTACCTCGCCAAGCTCATCCGACAGTGCGCCAACCACCAGTACTTCAAGTCCGACTCCAAGGCCCTGTCGTCGGCCTCCTTTGCCATGGAGCACTACGCCGGCACCGTACGGCCACTACCACCCCTCGACTCGAACCCACACCAACCAACCAACTGACATTGTTGAAATATCTTGTGTGTGTCGTGTGTGTCGTGTGTGTGTCGTGTGTGTGTGTCGTGTGTGTGTGTGTCGTGTGTTGTGTCGTGTGTGTGGTGTGTGGTGGTGCCAGGTGACGTATTCGGTGGACACGTTCCTGGACAAGAACAAGGACACGCTGTCCAACGATCTCAAGGCCATGCTGCAGAGCTCGCGTGACGGCTTCATCAAGTCGCTCTTCCCGCCCGATGTCGTCCAGTCCATGAAGCGTCCCCCCACCGCCGGCCTCCAGTTCAGGGTACACCCCTCCCTCCTCCCCCCCCGCGTTTCCCCGAGCACGTGCTGGAACCGCAACTGAGCAAAACTAACCAAACACAAAACGAAACGAAACAAACACGAAATGAAACAAACACAAAACAAAACAAAACAGAATCAGGTGACGGGTCTGGTGGCGACGCTGCGTTCGTGCACGCCGCACTACATTCGTTGCATGCGCCCCAACGGCATCAAGGCGCCCAACAACTTCGACGAGCGACTCACCGGCAACCAGGTTCAAACCCGCCTCCCAACCCTGCTTGCTTCATGTCGACACACACACACACACGCCACACACGCCACACACGCCCCCGCGCGCGTGGTTTGTTTGATTTGCGGTTGCTGACGTTCACATCTTTTTCCTATCGGGCGCCGGGGTCGTACGCGCGCGTTAGATCCGCTACCTGGGTCTGCTGGAGAACGTGCGGGTGCGCCGCGCTGGTTACGCCTACCGCCAGACCTACGAGAAGTTCATGCACAGGTAACACACACACACACCGCACACACACACACACACACACCGCACACGCACACGCACACACCGCACACGCACACACCATCGCTCAACGCACACAATTGGATGCCAGGTTCCGTATTCTGTCGGACAAGACGTTCCCCAAGTGGGACAAGGACGCGCGTTCGGGCGTGCAGAAGATCCTGGACGACTGTAACATCAAGCAACACGCCAGCGGCCAGTCGGCCTACGAGTTCGGCAAGACCAAGATCTTCATCCGCATGCCCCAGAGCGTACACGCCCCCCCCACACCAAGCATTCCTCGCATTCCAACGCTGGATGTGAGCCGGTTGTTGACTTGTATTGACCCTGTGTGGAATGTGTGCATTCCGCAGTTGTTCACTCTCGAAGAGCTGCGGCTGCAGAAGATGAACGACGTCGTCAAGGTAATGGCCGACACGACACACGACACACGACACACGACACACGACACACGACACACGACACACGACACACGACACACGACACACGACACACGACACACGTCACACGTCACACGACACACGTCACACGACACACGACACACGACACACGACACACGACACACGACACACGACACACGACACGACGCGACACGCACTGGTGCTCAACTGGTTGGTGCGTTCCATTGCATTCTTTCAGGCGATTCAAAAGCGATGGCGGGAGTGCCGGCACCGGGCCTTCAACAAGCGCGTGAGGGCGGCGGTGCCGGAGCTGTTCTGGGGCAACAAGGAGCGACGCAGGGACTCGGTCTTCAGGCAGTACAACGGCGACTACCTCAAGGCCAAGAACTCGCGCATGCACAAGGCCATCAAGAAGAAATACGGTACGCACACGCACACACCGCACACGCACACGCACACACCGCACACGCACACGCACACACCGCACGACACACGCGCGTGCGTGTGCTGAATTCCGATCGTGCCGGGGCAGGCGAGCGTCGGTTGTTCTTTGCGGACAAGACGGTGTTCGTGGAGAAGGGCAAGCTCAAGCAGAGGGCGCTGCTCATGACCGAGGGCGCCTTCTACACCGTCGGCGGCAAGTGGCGCAAGAAGATTCAGAGGAGGATTCCCCTTCAGGACATCGCCTCGGTCGAGCTCAGGTCCGTGTTCTCTCCCACCGTGTGCGTGTGCGGTGGTGCGTGTGCGTGTGTGGGTGTGCGTGTGCGTGTGCGTGTGCGTGTGCGTGTGCGTGTGCGTGTGTGCGTGTGCGGTGGTGCGTGTGCGTGTGCGTGTGCGTGTGCGTGTGCTGAGTTTCTGACGAAAACAAACCGAAACGAAACGGAACGAAACATAGTCAACTGGCCGACGGGGTGGTGGTGCTGCACATGAGCAACGCCGACGACGATGCCGTGTTCGACTCGGACAAGAAGACCGAGGTGGTGGCCATCCTCTACGAAATCTCGGCCGAGAACGCGCGCGAGAAGGGCGACGCGCAGGCCAAGGGCGTCCCCGTCACCTTCGCCTCGGGCAACATCGCCTTCAAGGAGAAGCGGGTAATCAACCCAACCACACTACTCTCTCTTTCTCATACACAGCGCGTGTTGTTCCTGTCGCTCACGCGTGTGCGGTTGCGCGTGTGCTGTGTGTGCGGTGTGTGCCACGACAGTCGCAAAAGACGCTGAGCTTCACGAGGGACGAGACCGCGGGCGCGCGGACGCTGCTCAAGCCGCAGGGCGACACGGTGGCGGTGAGCGCCGCGACGGGGCTCGACCGCGGCGCCGGACCCAAGAAGCGGGAGAAGGCCAAGAAGCCCGACCGCAACATCCGCCAGATCACCCGGGCCGCCGGCGGCGCGCACGGCATGGCCGTCATCGCGCGAGCCAAGGCCCAGCACAACTACACCGCCCGCAACGCCCGCGAACTCACCTTCAAGGTTCACCACCCCACACCCACCCACCACACCAACCCTCGCTTATCATTAACACGTGTGTGTCGTGTGTGTCGTGTGTGTCGTGTGTGTCGTGTGTGTCGTGTGTGTCGTGTGTGTCGTGTGTCGTGTGTCGTGACGACTACGTGTAGGCGGGCGACATCATCAACGTGACCCAGAAATCGCTGTCGGGCACCTGGCAGGGCGAGCTCAACGGCAAGACGGGCTCCTTCCCCGCCAACCTCTGCGTCGAGGTCTGATGATTTGATGGATCGACCCAGACAGAGAGCGACCCGCGCGCACGACCACGTCAGACCCCCCCGCCGTTGCGCCGCCAGCCCGCTCTATGTCCCCAGTTGCACATTACTGCACTTTCCTATTCTTCTTCTTCGTACGTTCGCACGCTCGCACCGCGAGTTATTTACACCACACCACGCCTGACGTCTTGCTGGGCGGCTTCACCCAAGGCTGGGATGAGGGGGGGACACAGTTGGCTATTTTCACAGTTGGCTTTGGCAAAAGAGTGTATAAATATATATATATTATATTATTATTATTTTGTATATTACAGCATCATGATGGAGGGGAGGTGGCTGATGGACAAAAGGCTCACTCGGCAAGCATGGCCAAAGCGGCGCGTTCATCGCTGAGGTCCTCCAGGAAGGCCGCCACCTTTTTGAACGATGGCCGCTCTGACGGGGTAAACCGCCAGCACCGCTCCACCAACCTAGACAGCGACGCAGGCGAACAAGTGTGAGTGCGTGTCGTGTCGTGTGCGGCGGAGCGTGTGTGTTGCGAAGAAGATCAGACACGCACCTTCGTAGTCGTTCGGGCACGGCGCAGCTGTCGGGGAATCGAGGAGTGCAGCCCTTGGCGATGAGCTCGGCCACCTTGTTGTCCTCCACCTCGGCGAAGGGCTTTTGGTTGGTCAACAGTTCGAAGAGCAGGTTCCCAAAGCTGTACACGTCCGCCTTCCGGCTGTAGGGTTCCCCGTTCGACACCTCTGGTGCCCTGCACTCACCGAACACACACACACACACACACACACACACACACACACACACACACACACCGCACACGCCGCACGCACGCACGCATACATGGATCGGGTCAAAACACAGTGTGACGTGGAACGAGATGGGGAGAGGAGGAGGGACCTGTAACGCGGGTTCCCGTTTTTGGAGAAGCGCACCGAGCCCCGTTTGGGCTTGTCCACGGCCACGCCAAAGTCGCCGATGCATACCCGGCCCTCCACCGACGGATGTAGGAATATATTACCTACACACACACCACACACACACACACACACCACCACCACACACACACACACACACACACACACACACACACACACACACACACAGACGCCGTCGCATCACGTGTGTGCGCGCGTAACAGGCGTGTAAGAAGACAACACCGCGAGCGAAAGTTGTGTTGCGTTGCGTTTTGTACCGAGAGAGAGGTCGCGATGCATGATGGGCGGCTTGAGCGCGTGGAGGTACTTCATCCCCTCGGCGACCTCGCGGCCCACTCGCACGGCCTGGTCGAGCGTGAGCTTGCTCTGCGCCTTTCGCAGGACGTTGTCGAGGCTGCCGCCCTCGCACAGCTCCGTCACAATACAGAAATAGGGGTCCGTGCAGTAACCTAACGAAAACACGACACACGTCAGTCAGCCACGGCACACGCGACACGACCAACGACACGACACACACGACACACACGACACACACGACACACGACACGCAGGCTAAAGAAGGGTAATGGTTGGATACCGCGAAGGTTGACGGTGTAGGGAGACTTGATGGTGCGTTTGAGGGCCTCGACCTCGCGCTTGTAGGCCTTCTCGGGCTGGAAGAGGTCCTTCTTGAGAATTTTGACCGCCACCTTCTGGGTCTCGCCCTTCATGAAGGCCTCGTACACGTTGCCGTAGCACCCGCCGCCGATCGGACCCACAAAGTCGAGGTGGAAGAAGTTGACCTCGTGGAACGGAGCTCCGTCGTGCCCACTCGCGTCGCCCGCGTGCTTCGCCGCCGGGTACGCGTCTGCTGTGAGAGGAGAGTAAGTCAGCGCTGCCGCCGCCGCCGCCGCCGCTGCGTCTGAACGAACTGCAAAAAAGAGGGTCGGAGGGAGGGAGGGAGGGAGGGAGAGACGTACCAGGCTGGGGGCCGCCCACAGCAGACAACGCGCCGGGGTCATTGGACAACGGCCGCCCGATTTCAAAATAGGTGTCCACCAGGCCAGCGCCCTTCTGGGTCTGCACCTCCTTCTCCTTCCTGTGCGTCACACAAACAAACAAACAATTATAAAATAGGTCAGCGTCTGGCGGCGGTGCGGCGATGAGGTGGAGGTGGAGGTGGCCGGTGATGACGTGGAGTGTGGGGCGCGGTGGCGGGAGGGAGGGATACCGCTTACGGAGGAGATAGCGCAGAGTGCGCTTGCACTTCTCCTTCTTCCGTTGATCCTTCTTCTCGTCCTTGCCGATGCCGCGCTCCATGAGTTCGACCCAGCTCGGCCGCTCCTGCAGCAGCCGCTCCAGCGCGTCCGTCGACGACCGCATCCGCTCCTTGAGGTCGCTCGGCGCGTCGGCGTTCAGTTCCTTCTCGAGTCGCGCAAACAGCTCTCGCAGGCTCACACTTCGCTGGGCCGCCACCACCTGCTCGCGCTCGCCGGGCCGCTTCTGGTGGTGGTGTTGGTTGTGGTGGTGAACGATCCGTTCGCGCTCCTTGTCCCGCTCGCCGCTGCTCGACAGGTCGCCGCCGCCGGAAGCGGGGACCGCTGCGTTGGTGGAGAGGTTGATGGGGCTGTTGCCCTTGCCCTTGAGCTTGGCCTTGGTGTTGAACAGGCCGCGCTCAAACACCTCCTTCCAGGTGGGCCGGCCCTTGAGCCATCTGTCCAGCACGATGCACCGCTCCTCGAGCCGCGGCGATACACCGCCCGGCAGCCCGGAGTGGCCCGGGGCTGGTGCCGGGGCGGCCGGTGGGGCGCCGCCAGAGCCGCCGCGGAGGAAGCTGTCCTTGCCCGAGGTGAAGATGGCACTGCCCACGCGCCGCGACTCTCCCTCTCGTGGCGACTTGCCCTTCACCACCTTTGATTTCTGTCGTGCGCGGTGTGTGTGTCGTGTGGGTAATTTATAAGAGGATGAGGTACACGATTGGACGAGGAAAAGGAGCAATCAATGGGGAGGGAAGCTGCGCACCTGCATGGGAAAGAACTTTTCCCACGACGGCCGCTTCTTGAGGGGCTTGGCGTCCTTGGGGCTGCCCTCCTTGATGATATGCTTAAACTCGGTCGACGACACCGTAGAGCATCGAACCGCGCGCGTTGACGGGGCAGCTGCACGGCCGCGAGCGCAACGAGAAAGAGGAAAGCGAGAGGGGATGGTGTGAGACTGAACAACAACAACAACAACAACTGAAGAAGGGTGGCAGGGACGAAGACGAAGTAAGGTCAGTCATCGTACTGGAGAAGGTGTCCTCGGAGGACACCCACAGGTTGTTGAGCTCGGACTTGCCATGCTTGGACGACTTGCTGCGGCTATGCGCCGGAGCGGGAGGCCAGTTGATGCTGTTGCCGGTGACGGCCACGTCGCTGGGCACAGCGGCGGCGGTGGCAGAGGCGGGGGAGGACCAGAAGCGGGGGTCGAATATGCTGCACGAGCGCGAGGGCGACTTGGAGTGGGCGCGTCGCCGCCCGTTGGCCGACTTGGCTTTGCGCACGGGCCGAGGCGCGCGGACCTCCTTGCTGCCGAGCGACGGCGGACCCGACAGCGAGGAGACCAGCGGCTCGGCTACGGCCGTGGCTGGTGTGTCTCTCGCGCTTCGCAGGCTGCCGCCGACGGGCCGTGTGCCCTCTGTGGAGAGGTCGAACATCATGGTGCGCGTGAGCGAGGTCGAGACCGTCGTGGCCGTTGTCCCGTAGGCGATGGCTGTCCAGCTGTCCTCCTCGATATCATCGTCCGAGCGCCGGTTGAAGAGCTCCTCCAGCCGATGCGTTCTGATGATGGGGAGGCGTGTTGGGTGAGATGAGGAACATCGCGTGATGGTGCCGTTTTTTAGAGGACCTTAGGAGGGAAGGCACGAACCTTCGTTTGATCTTGCCCAGCTGCTTCTTTCTCTTTTCCTCGAGCACGCTGTCGATGGCCTCTTGTAGCTTCTTCTTCTCTTTGCCGTTCCATCCATTCAGGGGGGTTCCATTTTCGAGCTTGTGTTTCTTCTTCTGTAGCTGGTTGATCTCTTCCGACAGAAGCTTCGTGTGGGAGAGGGGCTGCAGCGGATCGGATCGCGTACGTCGATGATGCTTGGTGGCTTGCCGCGATACGCGGCCGCGAACCGAGCCTCTATTTGACCGTACTTTAAAGGTCACGTTCTTGGGTGAAATGGTGAAACCATACTCGGCCGAGCATGACGATGATGATCCTAGCCGAACTTGTGGCTTCAGATGCGTAGATGACGGCGAGGGGGCGATTGCGGCCATTATTCAAATACTTCGTTTTTCTCTCCTCCCTATCTTCGATTCTCTATCACTCGTTATTCCCTCCTCGCATTCGAAACATCACCCGCCGATGATTTCGAATGAAGGCCACCTCGGCTCACTTCTCTCAGTTCGTAGCCGTTCTTGATTGAGATCTAGTTTTATTACCACTTTTCCTGTCTTTTCCGCCAGCAGGTTTCCTGCAGGTTTTTCTGTGTTGACAAGAATCGTAATCGGCACTGCATCGCCACTAAGCCTGCGCATCAAGGACCAGCATCGGCTGAGCACAATCAAGTAAGCCATCCGCGGATCGATCTGCGAAAGATGAACGTGCCACCCCAATTCAGAGCGAAAGCGCCATCACGAGGTTACAAAATCGCACGAGCGATTATCTTGCCGATGGCCCTTTTCGTTATCACCTTCACCTTCACCTCCAAGTTCTCTGTAGATCCCGCTAAAGTCGATGTACGCGCTTGCCACTTGTTCCTCTCTTGCCACGCCTTCTGATCTGGCAACTCATGAGATCTTCTGGCCATGATGCTCGGTGCAGAAGGCGCGAGGGTACACGAAAGACGAGCTCGCCAAGCGGAAGGCCTTCAACCAGGCCATCTTCAAGGAGGTTGCCGGGCCTCGCGCCAACGACAAGAACTCCAGCGAGTAGCGTTGCCACCACCTCCACACCACTCCTCCTCTTCTTTCTCTTGTCTTGCAAATACAAAACTACTTTTCAGATGCAACAGCCAGGGAGGAAGAAGGAGAGCGATGAAGATGTAGCGAGTATGGATGTCAGGTTCATTTCAGTGTACATCAACCGCCGGCCAGCATCGACCAATCGATCGGCTCAGCAGATCCAGGCCTACAGTAGTCGTCTAGTGCTTGGAGAGGATGGGCATGTTGGTGCCGAACTGCGAGAGGTCCTCCTCCTTCCACAGGGACGTGATCGTCTTGGTCTGCGTGTAGAAGTGCACGCCAGCCTGTGTGCGACACGTTCACCCCAAACACACACACGGCCACGTCAGCGCACACGTCATTACGCACGACACGACACGGCACACGAAAAGAGAGGAAAGAGGAGAAGGAGCGTGTGTGATGTATGTACCTTGCCGTAGAAGTGGGAGGCGCCGACGAAGGAGCCACGCGAGCCGGTGAAGGAGAAGAAGGGAAGGGGCACGGGGATGGGAATGTTGATGCCCACCTGACCCACGTCGATCTCGTGCTGGTACTTGCGCGCAGCCGCACCGGAGCGGGTGAAGATGGCGGTACCTACGTGCCGTGTACAGTAGTGCGGTGAGCAATCATTCAAAACGTAACAAAAAGTTGGAGAGTTGTCATTCGCGTGTGCAAACCGAATGATTACAGTCTCAGAGGCTGTTTAGTGTTTGATCTCATAGGACATCTATCGATACTACTACTTCTTGTTATTAAAAATAGTTGTTATTTGGGTCCTCATATTTTCGCCTTGGCTCATCATCGAGAGAGTTGTAAAAATAAATATCAATAAATAAATAATATCCAGCAATAAAGCGGCGCGTACCGTTGCCGTAGGGGTTGTTGTTGATGAGCTGGATGGCGTCCTCGAGGGTGTCGGCGGTGAGGCAGAGCAGGACGGGGCCGAAGATCTCCTCCTTGTAGCACGTCATGTCAGGTCGCACGCCCGTGAGGACGGTGGGACCCACGAAGTTGCCCTTGGGGAACTCAGGCACCTGGTTGCGCAACCGCACATGTAAGCGCGAGCGACACACGCATACGAGTGTGGCATGACATGTGGGTGGGTGGGCGGGCGGGCGGGCGGGGACAAGGTACGGAGACGTTGCGGCCGTCGAGGGGGATGGCGGCGCCCTGGTCGACACCGCTCTGGATGAGGCGAATCACGCGGTCCTTGGACTCCTTGGTGATGAGGGGACCCAGGTCGGCGCCGGGGGTGAAGCCAGAGCTCAGCTTGAGCTTCCTGGCACGCTCGACCAACTCGGGGATCCTGCGTTGCCGCACCACGTAACAACGCAACTGAATTAGCCAAACAACATTCACAACAACAACAACAACTACACTTGGGTGTAGTTGAAAGTTGTAATTTCCATTGGGTCCACAACCCGCACGCGTGAACTTCCGCTCCGTGCGTGACACGGAGCGGAGGGCGCGAGCGGAAAGAAATGCGAAGCCAAAGAGATGCGAGCAAGGGCCGCTCTCACACAGCAATGACTCAGGAAGACTCCATCGGCCACCGCAAGGGTGGATGTGTGCCTCGATTTACGATCGCCCATCACAAGGGTGGACAACGACGAGGCACGGGAGCCCAGCTCTAAGGGCCGTGTTACACGACACACACGACACACGACATGGACGAAGAGAACTTGGGGGTCGTACCACTCCTTGCTCTCACCGATGAAGACGGCGGTGGAGAGAGCCATGCAACGCTGGCCAGCAGCGCCGAAGGCGGCGCCGACGAGCGAGTTGAGGGTGGCCTCCTTGTTGGCGTCGGGCATGATGGCGGCGTGGTTCTTGGCGGCCATGTTGGACTGCGCGGTCGGCACCGAGGGAAGGTGAGCAAGTGCCCCGAGAGAGGATGCGGTGTGCGGGCGTGGCACTAGGAAAGAAGACATACCTGGACGCGCTTGCCGTTGGAGGTACCACGGGAGTGGATGTGGCGACCAGCGGCGTCACCACCGACGAACGAGATGGAGCGAATGGCAGGGTCGTCGCAGATGAAGTTGACAGAGTCCTGGACGTCGTAACAGCAATCAATGCACTCCGGTCAGCGGTCTGGTGGCGAGACGAGGCCAGGCGAGGGCAAGAAAGAACATAACAACGTACGTGGGCGCCGTGGATGACGTTGAGGACACCCGGGGGGAGGCCGGCCTCACGGGCGAGGCGGGCGATGATCATGGACGCGCCGGGGTCCTTCTCGGAGGGCTTGAGCAGGAAGGTGTTACCGCAGGTGACGGCCAGCGGGAACATCCACAGGGGGATCATGGCGGGGAAGTTGAAGGGCGTAATGCCGGCGCACACGCCGAGGGGCTGGCGGTAGCTGTAGGTGTCGATGTTCTTGCCCACGTTCTCGGCGGTCTCGCCCATCAGAACGGTGCCGGTCGAGCAGGCGTGCTCCACGACCTCTGCAAGCCACACGAGACGTAAGAAAACACAAAAGAGGTGCGCCAAAAAAACAAAGATGGAGAGGTTGGTGCGGTACCGAGGCCTCGGAAGACGTCGCCCCTGGCGTCGACCAGGGTCTTGCCGTTCTCCTTGGTGATGCAGCGCGCGATTTCCTCCTGCACGCGCCGAAGTGAATGCCGTTAATTTGATGAGAATAACGTTGTGATCAATTAATTGCGGCAGAGGCGCACCATGTTCTCGCTGATGAGGGCCTGGAGCTTGAACATGACGCGAGCGCGGGCGCTGATGGGAGTCTCGGACCACTGAGCGTAAGCCTTCTTGGCCGAGTCGGAAGCAGCCTGCATCTCGTCCTTGGTGGCCATCGGCACACGGGTCACCAGCTCTTGGGTGGCCTAATGGCATGACCGCTCGGTCAAATCATTGCACCCCACATTAGCCTCCCCCTGTACTACGTACGGGGTCAAAGACATCGACGAATTCGGTGGCCTTGGACTCCACGAACTCGTTGTCGATGAAGAGCTTGGTGGTGCTGGCGAGAGGCGCCGTCGAGGTGTGGAAGCGAGCGATGGAACCAGCCTAGTTTGGAGATCGTGAGCATTATGATATCATCCAGATTAAATCGGAACATTTCCGAATCAAAGACCCGCAATGGCAACATGCTACAAAGTATTGCATACCTTGCGAGGAGCGGAACGAGCAGAGAGCCTAGCAATCGACTGCATGGTTGGTTGATGTGGGCACCGAGAGAGGAAAACGAAGATCAACGCAGCCACGACGAGAAAGGAGGCCGCAACGCCTGGCCAATCAGAAATCAGAGCAGTCCCAAGCGATCCTTTGATATCGCCAGTTCGGAAATTTCTCTTGCTGCCGCGTCAGGGTGCCCTCGCAGCGGGCTCGCCCGTCTGCGCCGTAGTTCCTTGTGGCGTGGTCACTACAACTTACGCGAGCGTTGTGGTGACCACGCAGAAGTAAAGACCAAACTCTCTCTTTCTCGCTCTCACGTGCGTGGTGCGCAGGGCGTACAGCGTGATCAGTGCGACTCCACGCTGCCGAACCTGGCTGCTTCTGCCCGCGCCGCGGGAACGGCCAGGCTTGTTGACGCCAACGGGCCACAATTCGGCGGATCGGCTTTGCCAGCCAGTCAGAACGCGCGACGTGGCCGCAGAAGAAGAGGCAAAAAAGAAACACAAGAAAAAGGGGCAAACAAATCAATACGCACACGAAGACATCAAAAACACAGAGAATGGGGCTCAATTTATGGGCCTACGCGGTTGGCAGCACCGTGCTCGCGGTGGGGGTGGTCGTGAATGCGCTGCACACCAAGGAGCAGTTCTACCCTGCCGCGCTCTACCTCTCCAAGTCGAAGGCATGCTCGCTGGTACGGCACTCACATTTCCAATGTAATCTCTGGGTGGCGCCACGCCTCACCATAATTCACAGGTGGTGGGCAACTTCGCGCTGGTACTGGTCCTACTACTCGGCCAGGCGATGAAGAAGCTCTTCCTGGGCAAATTACGAGAGATTGAGATCGAACACCTGACTGACAAGGTGTGGGGCGCCGTTATGGACATCCTCCTCACCATGACGATCTTTCGCTCAGAATTCAACACGGTCTTCATTACTTGGTTTACGATCCTCATCTTCTTCAAGATCTTCCACTGGCTGGCCCAAGATCGAGTGGATTTCGTACGCGAGCCCATCACGCGCTGCCTTGCCATGAGTTTTTCGCTCACCCGACAACTATTGTATGATCTATGGGCATCCACAGATCCAACACTCGCCAGTGTCTGCGCTGACCTCGCTGCGCATCTTCTCGCTGATGGCCATTCTGTCCGTCGTGGACGTCGTTGTGCTCTATCGTGCGGCGGTCGTGACCATGGCCAAGGGACCCTCAATGATGATCCTCTTCGGCTTCGAGTTTCTCATCCTCCTGGCCACCGTCGTCTCCACTGCGGCCAAGTTCATCATCAACGTCATTGACAGTCGGCAACAGGGCACTTGGGAAAGGTGCACCTTCACAACACTCGATGCTGTTACCCATATAGCAGGATCCTGCTTACTCACCACGCTCGAATGCAGGAAGGGAGCCATCATCCTGTACCTGGAAGTGATTACCGACATCTTCCAGCTCCTCGTCTACCTGGTGTTCTTCGGCCTCATCATCACTTACTACAGCCTGCCGTTGCACATCATCCGCAACGTCTACTTGACGATTCGCTCTCTCAAGCAATGCGTGGACAGTCTCATGCGCTACCGCAAGGCCACCACGAACATGAACGAACGGTAAAGCCCCTCTTCCGCATGAACATGAGTGTGGTTGTTGTCGCCATTCCGCTCAACTCATTGCGTACATCGCCAGATTCCCCGACGTGACGGCCGCTGAGTTGGCCGACACCGAGCAAATATGCATCGTGTGTCGCGAGGAGCTCACACAAGGAAAGCGGCTACCCTGTGGCCATATTCTGCACTTCCACTGCCTCCTCAACTGGCTGCAGCGCCAGCAAACTTGTCCCATTTGCAGGACGTCTGTACTCGACGCTCCGGCCCCCGTGGTACTCGCCCGTCCATCTCGTGTCTTCCAATAGTCGCACCATTGGTGCTGGCCCAGGCCGTTGGCTTACCTCAACACTCCTTCGTCTCCCTCACGCGCAGCCACAGCCACAACAGCAGCAACAACCACAACAAGCCCAGCAGTTCAACTGGCCACCGCAGGTCCAGGAACTGTGGGACCGACAGGTGCAGATGGCCCAGATGGCCGAGGCAGATGCCGCGCGGCACGGTGGTGGCGAGCATGCGGGTGTCCACCAGCCGGAAACACACCAAACCACCCAGGAACCCCCCGCAGTACTGCTTTCTCACTCACGCCTCTCATCTTCTCCGCCTCCTCCTCACATACGGGCGCCACTGACACATTTCGTTGCCCACTCTGCCTCTGCAGTCTATGAACTACGCCGCCGACGGAGCAGTCGAGCAATTGGCTGCTACGCTGCCTGAGATCCTTCAGGGTATTCAGGTGCTGCAGATCCAAGTGCAATCCCTGCAGGTACCGCTGGTCTCCCACCAGTAGCCCCGGATTTGTGCTTTTTCTATGGTCTCATACCTGGCTGCAGGAGGAACTGGCGCTTGTCCGAGACAAAGTGGACGTGGCCGAGCAGCGGGCTTCATCGTCAGGATCCTCTTCATCATCGCCAACGCCTGCTGCCGCCCGAGAACCGCCGAGGGACGAGGGAGACATCGAACGAGTCATCGACTCCTACGCGTCGCGGTTCGGCTCTGGTCTGTCGCCCAACGAGCTCAACGACAGGAAGGCGCTCCTCCGCCGGCGGATGAAGGCCGCCGTGGCCTCCTTCAAGGACGGCTACTAGTGGTAGCCGGAGCTGGTTTCCTCCCCACCTTCTTCCCTTCTGTAAAGCCCCGCTACGACGACCGACGCTAGCGGCACGTACCACCAATGTAAGTAGAAAACGAACAACGCGCGTAACACTCGTGTACTAGACGAGTTAGAGTTGACGCGGCGCACGTGCAGCGGTAGTGCGAGACTCATCTCTCTATCTTGCTTGGTCGGTCCTCTTTCCTTATGTTGTACGACGACTGGCCCTCTATATCGGGTGATGGCCCCGACCAAAAGGCGACAGCCATCGTGGAGTAGAGGCGTTAGCTCAGAAGGAATAGGTCCTTCTTGCAGAAGAAGTTCCTTAGTCGGCCGCGAGAACTCCTCAACTGGCCCTCTCCGCAGGTAAGAGCTGGACCTCTCTTTCTCTTGCTCTCCTGTAGTTCACCACCGAGGCTTCTGTGTTGTTTGTCATGGGGTATGATGCGCAGGTGTGTGAGGATGAGGGGCCGACCAGCATCAGCTGCATACAGGGAGGTGACACGGCCTACATACTGCTCTGCACCGCGCTGGTGTGGCTCATGACGCCCGGGCTGGCGTTCTTCTACGGAGGTCTGGTGCGTGAGAAGAACTTCTTGAACACCCTCTACATGAACATTGCCGCTATCGGTACTGCCCACCCCTCTTGCCCAAGCCCAGTTGCACTGAAACCGTTGCTCATCTCCACTATGTGTGCGCCCTCTTCCTCCATCTAAGGCGTCGTCACGATCCAGTTCGTGTGGTTCGGCTACTCGTTCGCCTTCAGCTGGTACTCCAAGGGCTTCGGTGACGGTGCCTGGGTCGGTCTCCGGTATTCACCCTTCCGACTTGAGTTCGCTGAAAACTGGGTTGTAACCTATGTACCCATTGCAACTTCACAGTGACCTCGGCCGCGGCCCTAACCCGGACTACGCCACGAGCATTCCTCACGATATCTACTCCTTCTTCCAGCTCACGTTCGCCGTACGCTCACTCACTCCCTCTCTCTTCTCCCTCTCTTTCTTGAGCTCTACTTGCCTGATGCTTGCACGCACGAATGCTCATACCGGCAGATCATCACGACTGCTGTCATATCGGGAGCCATGGTGGAGCGGATCTCGTTCCGAGCGTGGGTCGTGTTCATCTTCCTCTGGACCACCGTGGTCTACGACCCCATCGGTAACACCCCCAGCCCATCCCTCAAGTCACTGCGGAAACCAACGCGTTATCTCTCTGCAGCGCACTGGGTGTGGTCGGCCAAGACCACGTCTTCGGGCTACGAGCTGGGCTTCCTGCGCGACCTTGGTGCGCTCGACTTTGCCGGCGGTACCGTGGTGCACATGGCCTCCGGCTTCTCGGCCCTCACGGCCTGCGTCATCTGCGGCCCGCGCCACAACGTTGACCTCAAGTCGCCGCCCGAAGCGCACAACGTGCCCCTGTTTGTGCTGGGCACGGCTATGTTGTGGTGCGAGTGGCCTCTTGCATCATACTTTCACGATGTTGGCTCGCTGACGCCGTAGATTCCCCACCTCGCAGGTTCGGTTGGTTCGGCTTCAACGGCGGCTCCGCCCTGGCGGCCAATGATCTGTCTTCGCTCGCCATGTACAACACTCAGATCGCCGCCTGTGCTGCTTTCACGACCTGGATGGTGATCGACGCCTTCTTCAAGCGAGCCGTGACAGTGGTAAGTACATCACCATCACCATCAACATCATATCTCTGACCCCATTCAACATCGCCACCACTTCAGGTCGGGCCTTTGTCGGGAGCCGTCGTGGGCCTGGTGGCCATCACTCCGTGCTGTGGGTTCGTGCACCTGCAGAGCTCGCTAGCCATCGGATGCATCTCCTCGCTAGTGGCCTGGCCTCTGATGCACATCAAGTCCCGCTACCTGGCCGGTCGGTGGTTGATGAAGTACGTCGACGACTCGCTCGACGTCTTCCTCTGCCACGGTGTGGGTGGCATGCTGGGCGCCTTCCTGCTCGGCTGGTTCGCCTCACTCGAAGTCAACCCGGCTGGCGCCGACGGCATCCTCTTCGGCGGTGGCAAGCTGCTCGGTTGGCAGGTGAAGCGATCTCTCGACATCTCTGCACCCTCTCGAGCCAGCTTGCTTACCCTTTTCGATTCGCAGATCATCGCCATCTTGATCACCATCGCGCTGTCCGTGGTTGGCACCGCGGCCATCCTGATCTTCCTCAAGTTCACCATCGGCATCCGCTACTCGCCCCAGACCCAGGGCAAGGGCGTCGACTCCGTCGCCCACCTGTCCTTGGCTTATCGGTACCCACAACTCGTCGAATGCTGTGCTTCGTTGGCGTTGAACGTTTCCGAAACTATTTGCTCTCGCGACCTTGTCGTCGCTCAGGTTTTCGGAGGAGAACCCCGATGGCTCTGTGGTTATTGAAGACGAAGAGGGCGGTACGCCAGCTTAGCTTATCTTCAGCGCTTGTCCCTTCATCGTCACACGTACTAAACTTTCTCTTCTCTTCTCTTCTTGCTTTCAAGGTTCGCTTGCGAGCCGGATCGCGGAGTGGAACCTGTTGGACTTCACCGTGCGCCACATCCGAAAGTGTCTCGGCAAGGAGGCAGCCGCCGACGACACCGAGATGAAGGAGGTCAACTGAACTGCGCCCATCCTAACTCTCTCTTCTCCCTTTTTCTTCCCAATTTTGCGCGTCACAACTCAACCCTCCATCTCAGGGTTGAGTTGTTGGCGTTCGTCTTCCTTCCACCTCTTGTAACCAATACCGTGCGTTGTGCACACACACACACGCGCGCGCACACAAAAGGAACCACAGCACACGACACACACGCGCTCACACCAGAATCAGCCCACGGCACATTTTAAGGAATGTGTCATTATTTGTCGACAGTGTCCCATCGTCCGGGAACAAGTCGGGGTGAAAAAGTTCCACACGACGACACCTTCTTCCACCACCCCTGAGCCTTGGCCGTTGGCTGCGGGGCTGTTGTTGGACGGCGGCTGACTCAGCGAGGGTACTCCAAGTGGCAGCGGAACATAACAACGTTCAAGCACCAAACAGCGCACAGGCCACGCGTCATCAGGCCATATTCGCACACGACGTAGCGACGGTTTAGCACTAGTCTTGGGGGCGAGAGCAGTTCTGCTGATACCGAGGTTGAAGAGGAGGAGAGTAGGACACGCATAGGTCGGAGAACAAGGAAGAGAAGGTCAGTACGTTGGGCACCACGTCGACTTTCTTACTGTTTCTCTCTCTCTCCACTCGGTCCCTCCATTCCTGACGTGTCTCGCACCCCCCCCTCTTCCCTTCCTCTAGCAGCCATGGTCTACGACGCAGCAGCATGTGCCCTCGACGCGAGAAGCACCGCCTGTATCGACTCGGGCGACACCGCGTACCTCTTGGTCTGCACCGCGCTGGTGTGGTTCATGACGCCCGGGCTGGCGTTCTTCTACGGAGGTCTGGTGCGTGAGAAGAACTTCTTGAACACCCTCTACATGAACATTGCCGCGATCGGTACTTGCCTCGCGGCCGCCCCTTTTTCTTTCTTTTTCTTTGTTTCGCCAACAACCGTCGCTCCCTCCCTGGCACCAACGTACAGGCATTATCACAATTCAGTTCGTGTGGTTCGGCTACTCGTTCGCCTTCAGCTGGTACTCCAAGGGCTTCGGTGACGGTGCCTGGGTCGGTCTCCGGTACAGCTCTCCCCTCCCAGCCACCCTTGACAAGTACTTGCCGGCGCGTAGCGGCAGCGAACCAGGGACTGACACTCGTCCGTGCTCGCAGGGACCTCGGACACGGCCCGAACCCGGACTATGCCACAACCATCCCCCACGGCATTTACTCCTTTTACCAGCTCACGTTCGCCGTGCGTTCTTCACCACACAAACACAACAAGATTAATAAAACCATAAAAAAACCAATAAAACTAAACACCTGCGGTTGGCGTGATGTGCAGATCGTGACACCGGCCATCATCTCTGGCGCCGTGGTGGAGCGGATATCGTTCCGTGCCTGGATAGTCTTTATCTTCCTCTGGGCCACTCTTGTCTACGATCCTGTTGGTAGCTGCACTCCCTCCATTTTCCACTTCTCGCCTCTCTCTCTCACACACACACACTCTCTGCAGCGCACTGGGTGTGGTCGGCCAAGACCACGTCCTCGGGCCTCGAGCTGGGCTTCCTGCGCGACCTCGGTGCGCTCGACTTTGCCGGCGGTACCGTGGTGCACATGGCCTCCGGCTTCTCGGCCCTCACGGCCTGCATCCTTTGCGGCCCTCGCCGTAACGTCGACCTCAGGTCGCCGCCCGACGGTCACAATGTGCCCATGTTCGTGCTCGGCACGGTCATCCTCTGGTTCGTCGACTTCCACCACGCATCGTCAGCTGGCAGCGCCTTTGCGCAGCAGTCACCCGGTCTCACATCTCTGAGGAACACTCACACAGGATCGGTTGGTTCGGCTTCAACGGAGGTTCCGCCCTGGCGGCCAATGACATTGCGGCGCAGGCCATGTACAACACCCACATCTCCGCCGCCACCGCCTTCTCCACGTGGATGGTTATCGATGCGGTCACCAAGCGCGCCGTGACTTTGGTACCTCTACGCCCGACACCCTTTGCCTCTAGGCGTGCTTCTTTGGCCAACTCGTTGCCGATATGCTGCGTAACAGGTCGGACCACTTTCGGGCGCCATCGTGGGGCTGGTGGTCATTACGCCCTGCAGCGGCTATATCCACTTCCAGAGCGCCCTCGCCATCGGCTGCATTGCATCGTTGGTGGCCTGGCCCTTGGTGTACCTGAAGGCGCGCTATATGGCCGGCAGGTACAGCACACTCTACACAATGCTTGGTTGTAGGGTGGTGTGGGGACTCACCACCCGTAATTCACCTGCTGGCCAGGTGGTTCATGAAGTACGTCGACGACTCGCTCGACGTGTTCGTCTGCCACGGTGTGGGTGGCACGCTGGGCGCCTTCCTGCTCGGCTGGTTCGCCTCCAAGGATGCCAACCCGCTTGGCGCCGACGGCGTCCTCTTCGGCGGCGGCGAGCTGCTCGGTTGGCAGGTGCGCGCTTTTCTCGTCCTTCACCTCTCCCGGCTGCTCTTGCTCACAGTGCCCTTCTTTCTACAGATTATCGCTATCCTGCTGACGATCGCTATCTCGGTCGTGAACACTGCTGCGATCCTGCTCTTCATCAGGTTCACGATCGGCATCCGATACTCCCGTGCGGAGGAGGACAAGGGCGTCGACGTGGTCGCCCACAGACAGGTGGCCTACCGGTAAGAGCAGACCCTGACCACTGTCGTTGTATACCTCCGGCCTCCCCCTCTGCTGACCCGTACCAACCCTGGCACTTCTTCGCACTCCCCAGATTCGAGGATGACCAGATCGACGATGCCTTGGCCGATGGAGATGACGCGGACAAGTCCATGCTGGACCGACTGGACGAGTGGAACATCCTGAACCTTACTGTGGGTCAATACAAGTACGTGCACACGCTGCGCGCAAAGAAGAGAAGTGTGTGTGTGTGTGTGGCTCAGCACTGACAGCGCCTGTGCGCCCCTCTGCAGTAAGATGTTTGGCAAGAAGCAGGACACGCAGAAGGACACTGAAATGAAGGAGGTCAACGGCGACGACGATTGGGAGCGAAAGAAGGGCAAGGAGAACGACGAGTACGTCACTTCCCCTTTCTCCTTTTTGTCTTGCCCACCTCGTGCTTGCATGTTCTACGACGCTCACCACATCGCGCTCTCGTTTCCGATCGTGCAGTGACAACGACGACAGAAGTCAGATCGTGTTCGGTGGTCGGTTCGGCCAGGCTTCGTACGCCGTCAACAAGGAGGTCTAGGATCAGTACGAAGTTATGTTCGAAAGATCTCTCTTTTCTCTCAAAAGATGAGGTATTCTATTTTTGTTCACCTGGCGAGGTGTAAAGTCAAAACAAATGTCAAAACAAATAATAAATAATAAAATGCAGAACTCTGGTTGGCAAGTTCGGACGAAATGCGGTCTGCTGGCTGTCGGCAATCTGTGGTATCCGCTCGGCGACCAATCCCAGTGCGTGCGTGTGTATAACCTTCTCTGAAGGTGGTTTGCCAACAGCCCACGGTCGGGGCACCATAACTCCAACTGTTTGAGCAAACACTCTTTCCTCCACACACGCACCAACAAACGATCGCAGCGCAGGTATGACCATCTTTCATCTTTTCTGCAGCTCGCGTCGCTGCCGCTTTCGCACTTCGTTATCGGCGTGGCTCCAAAACATATTTTAATTTCAATTAATTCAAATCAATTAGCAAGATGTACGGACAAGGTTACGGCGGCGGCTATCCTCCTCAAGGCGGCTACCCTCCTCAGGGTGGCTACCCTCCGGCTCCTGGCGGCTACCCTGGCGGTGGTCCGCCCCCGGCGCGTACGGCGCACCTTCGCCCTATGGCGCTCCTCCCCCTGGTATGTATGGTGCTCCTATGGGCAGTCATGGCGCTTATCCTGCGGGCGTGATGGGTACGTGCGCTTCATTGGCAACGCTAAATTCGAGAGAGTAGAGCAACACAAAAATCAATCAGATCTGATCTGCTGGTATCTGTGACGAGAGGCAACCAGATCTGATCGATTCGTGTTGTTACAAATTTGCCCGAATTTTATGCCCATCGATCTAACGCGCACCCTTCACGTCCTCGATCTTGTATTATAAACATTTATTATTCATGTTTTTCCATGCAACGCTATCCATTTGCCGCTCGATCTACATCAAATATGTGTTCTATGTTCTATATTCTATATTACACAGGCGGACGTCCTGGCGGTCCCCCCGGCACCATGGTGCACCAGCAGACCACCACCGTGGTCACCAACGTCGGCCCGCCTCCCTCCAGCTTCAACAACAACTGGGTACGTGTGCTCGCCCACAATCGTTGATGGCATGCGTTCACCAGCCGCGCTCTCCACTGACCCTCCCGGCGCTTACGCCCTGCTGCAGTTCTCGTCGTACTACAACCAGATCCAGCAGCAGGAGATGTACGAGATCCAGGCCTGGTTCCGCTCGGTGGACAGGGACGGCTCTGGCTCGATCACCGCCAACGAGATCGCCGGCAGTACGCACCACCTCTCTCTCTCTCTCTCTCTCTCCTCTCTGCGACGCCCCTCTTGCCCTCACGCGCAGTTTGTGCACGAATGCTGACATCACCACGTCCCCGTTTGCCCCCCTCCTCTTAACAGTCACCTTCAACGGCGTGCCTCTGGGTCTGGACGTGGCCACCAAGCTGGTCCGCGTGTTCGATCGCGACGGCAACAGGAGCATTGGTTCGTTACTCGATGTTCATCAGCACTCCGAATGTTTCGGAGGTGCACGCCTAATCTTCTCTATTTCTCTCTCTCTCTCTTTTGGCTCCAGACTTCTACGAGTATGCGGCGATGCACAAGTTCCTTGCCTCCCTGCAGGCGGCGTTCTTTGCTGCTGACAGGGATCGCAGCGGTACCATCGATGCCAGGGAGATTCACAACGCCCTCGCCGCCGCCGGCTTCCAGGTACCATATCAAGCCTAGGCTGAGTGGTGTGTGTCACCGTGCTCCTGGGCATTGTATTGATCCCCTCCCTTTTCTTCGACGCCTGCAGGTTTCCCTGCCTGTCGTACAGACCTTCATGATGGTCCACAACAAGACGGGCTATGGTGTCAACTTCCACCAGTTCCTCCTCATCTGCGCCACCATCGGTACGCCGCCGCCCCCTTCGCCCCTCGACAATCGGATGTGGATCCGGCGGTGGTGCTAACCATCCCCCTTCCCCCATCCCCCGCTGTGTAGCCCAGGGCCGTTCGCTGTTCCAGTGGCGCGACCCCCAGCGGTCGGGCCGCATCACCGTCACCCTCGACCAGCTGTTGGAGCTGGTACCCCCCCCCTCGCTCGACTCTTTTGCGTTGCTCACCGTCGTTGTACTCACTACTTCTGGCTACTCGCTCGACGACCAGGTCGCACAAATGTCGTAGATGGCCGGACCGATGCACCAAGGCCAGGCAGCGCACATTCCGTGGCACTCTTTTTCACAAACCAGAGCAGTCCTTCTATCATCAATACACTCTTCTTTGCCCCAATGTCGCACATCCCTTTCGCCGCTCCCTCCCTTTCTGCAGCAGCACAAGCTCGATCCTCTTCCTCTGGCCGATGCGTGGGGATCATGTTGGCACGCGTTGCGCCCGTGCAACAAGAGGAAAGGGGGGGGGCGTTCACTGAAGAGTGGCATCGCAGAAAAAAGTAGGAAGGAAGAAAACAAGTAAATGTCGACATTGAGCTCTGCGCGCAACAAATACAGGACGAAGGCCATCTTCTGATTCTTTGTCTCAACCAGTCGCCAAATGCCAGCCCAAAAATCAAGCCAATTACGACAACTGAGACTGTGCCGATTCGAAGACTTTGTCTAGCTAGACGAGATAGATTTTTTAAAAATTCAATAGTATTAGAGAGAGACAGGGAGAGACGAGGAACGATGGTTGATCTGGCGTTCAGCAAACGAGGTGGAGATAGGTGCGGTGGTCGCGGTGGGGCGTGGTCGATCGATGAGGAAGAGCTTGATCTGCTCGTCGAGGAGTACGCGTTGCCGCTCGAGCCGCAGTCGCAATGGGATGATCTGGTCGAGGAATCGAACCGCTACTTCAAGCGCCAGTACAAGGAGGTGCAACTGAGGAAGCGCGACGAGGACACCGCTGCCAGCATCGCTTGCCAGCACTTTAATCTCAATCACGGGGCTTCTACGTCCGCGTCGAGACAATCGATACCGAGCCGCATCGCTAGCTTGTTTGATATGACCGCCGCCGTCGTAGCTGCCTACTTCACCTCCGAGCTGCGCGACTGCCTGCCCGACGACGTTCTCACCGCGGTGCAGAGGCACATGACCAAGGAGCGGCAGATCGAGTGCCTCCACGAGTACAAGCGCTGGGCCGACGATGGCGGCCACCCCGGTGCTGCGACTACGACTACGGCTTCGAAGACCAAGACGCTCGTCAAGTACTGCCCCTACGACGCGCAGGGCCGCAAGCACGGCCAGGCCCTCGAGTGGCGCCCTTCGAGCGGCGCCCTGTGGCGCTCCACGCGCTTCGAGTTTGGTCTGCGCGCGGGCGACTACGTCGAGTACTTTGCCGACGGCACCATCAAGGCGCTCGAGGTTCAGTACCGCGACGAGCGCGTCCACGGGCACGTCAAGTGGTGGTACGAGAGCGGCCGCCTGGCCGGCCAGCAGACCTTCGTCCACGGCCTCAAGCACGGCGCGGGCCACGTGTGGCGCGAGGACGGCAGCCTGTGGCGCTCCAAGAACTACCGCGACGACCGCAAGCACGGCATCTGCCGCACCTTTGACGAGGCCGGCCGCGTGGTCAAGTCGAGCCGCTACGACGGCGGGCGCAAGCGCAAGGCCGGCGCCGCGGAGCTGACCACCAGCTGCCCGGGCGTCAATGCGGCCGCTGTCGTTCCCGCGTCGTGGGAGCCGTCCCTGATCGGCAGGGTCTAGAACCGTCGTCTTCGTCCCTCTCTGTCTCTTTCTTTCTTCTTCGTTCTTTTCTTAAACAAATTAAAATGATTATTTAAACTGTTTATTTATTTTCTCTTTGTTTTCTCGGGACATATCAGCCTGGCGTCGATTGGGCTTGGCGCGAAAAAGGAAAAGGCGACTATACGGAGAAGAAGGAAAAACAAAAGACTAAAGAATCGGATTGATTGATGCTATCGAGGGGAGCTGGTTCTTCTTCTTGAGTCAGCCTCTCCCATTAGTTTTTGCGCTCCACTCTCCCTCTTGATGATAGAAAAGACCATCATGAAGTACATGGCTGCGGCCGTGTTGATGGTGGCTGCGATCATGATTGGGGCGGAGGCGTCGGTCAATGGGCGACATACCCTCTTCATCGAGGAACTCTGCTTCCCCGGCCAGCAGCGCTGCCTCTCCGAGGTGCTCTGGCAGGGCGACCACTTCGAAACCGTTCGTTCAGCACCACCCCCCCATGCATACAAAGCCTCTGCCCAAGCTGGGCAGTTCTCAAAGCCTTAGGAGCTCATCTTGTTCGCTTCGATGATGAACAGGACGAGTTCAGCACTGATGACCTGCTACCGGCCACTGGCGGCTCTGGCACGAGTCTCACAGTACGCTGCACCTCCTCTGCACCTCTTTCGAAATGATGGTTTCTCTTTTGTTAAACAATAAACCCAGACCACCGGCGACACCGTCACCTCGAGCTCCAGCGGCGGAAGCACCAGCGGTACACCTTCCTCCCCTCTAGCAACGCAACACATGATCGCTTGCTCACTGCACTCGCACACACTCAACACCGCACACACCAGGTTTCCCTGGTTTTTATGCCAAGCGGGAGGAAGAGGGCGGTACCGGCTTCGCTCCCGGGCGCGAAGCGGTGGACGGCGTCGTCGACGATGAGAAGGCCGGCCGAGCGTGGGGCACGGACGACGACATGGCGCGCGAGGAGGAGGCCAAGCTGATCGAGGCCGAGCGCCTGCGCGTGCAGGAGGAGACCGGCATCTACATGGCCACGAACCAGTTCGACGAGTTCGAGGCCGGTAGCGTCGTTCGCAGCCGCGACTCCAACATCCTCAAGAAGATCGAGGAGCTCTACGGCGGTATGCCCTGGGCCAGCCCCTTCACCGAGGCCAGGTCAGTAACTGTGGTATCTGCTACAGACTTCACAGTTCTATGGCTGATCAGCTTTGGTGCCGCGCTCATTGTTTCAACAGAGAGAGCCTCAAGCAACTCCGCAACGTTACCCGGCGCTCGAACGGCCACCATAAGCGCGCGGCGGTGGTGGAGAGCATTCGTGGCGGTGGCGTGGCGGGCTCAATCAACGTCGCCTCCTTCGACGTCCCGCACTCCTCTCGCCAAGGTACTGTCTTGCCCTTCGTCATCATCACCTTCAAGTCCTGACCCCTCGTCAGGTCCTGTGCGAGCGTACCCGATCAATTCGATCCTGGGCAGCTCAGTGAAGCGGATGGACGCGCGTACGGCCGTGGGCATTGGCGGAGTCTACTCCATGCTCGAGGGCGTATCGGGCAACTACCCCGTACACTTCCGCAAGCGAGTCGACTCCTCGTCGCCCTTCATCTTCCAAGGTGCGTCCAACAGCTCCCCACCACGCACCGCGTTCGGCTCAAAGGCTGAAATCATGATTTGCGCAGCGGCTACGGACTTCGACCCGTACGGGACCTGGCGGTTCGGCGATCCGACCGACAGGACTTGCCCCCACCTCTTCAACTTTCAGTTCGTTCTCAGGTGCGCTTGCAACAAGCTACAACGTTTACGGCACAAAGCCTATTCTCATCACACTTCACAGGCTGGAGCAGAGGATTGCCACTCGCCTTGAGCTACACCTGTCCTTCGTGGACGCCATCATCACCGAAGTGAAGATGAGCATCGCCCGTACAGCTACCTTCTTCCACATCCCTTCGCTCATCATCACTTGTTAATTTGTGTGTGTTCCCCTATATGTCTAGCCTCCAAAACTGAACAGTCACCGCTGTATGAGGACGTCTACTTCATGTACCGAGGCCTCACCTACTCCCTCTACGATTCGGGCACCCTCATCGACAGCGGTGCCCACACCGACGGATTCCGTGATGTACGTTGAACCCAATCAATCTGATGGTTGGCAGCGGCTCACCACCAACCATCGTTTCTCTTCGGGGTGCTGTTGATGAACGCGGCTGCTTCGAGCAACAGGGTGTCCCGCCGGTGCCGATTCCGGGTGGTGCCGAGGGCTGCTGCGAGGAGATGCCCTGGAGCTTGAGCCCCGCGCCGGACTGCTCGGCCTTCGAGCTCAACTACCCCGTCACCCTCAACCCCAGCCCAGCGCCCCTCCAGCCATGGGACGTGGACAAATGAGCCTTAGTCTTTGGGTTGAGAGATGATGAACTGCAACAACATGAGGTGAAGTGAGGAAGTGGTTGTTTGTTAAAACAAGAAGTTGTGGAATGGTGAAACATCAGCTCTTTGGTGCTATTCTTATCTGGTGGGTGTTTACATGAGTGTATTTACATGCACCACTATCTACATGCTGATGGTCTGAAAACATACGCTCAGGACAGGAGGGGCTATCAGCCCCACTTGTAGAAGTTGTGCTTTCCCTCGCCGTTGTTGTCGCTGTGATTGTAGGCCTGGATGTTGCCGCCGCTTCCCAGCATCTGCTGCTGGTCCTCCTCATAGTGATGCTGCTGTTGGCCGTTGTGGTTGTGGTGGTTGTGGTTGTGCATGAGGCTCTCCTGCCGTCTGAGCAGATCCTCGTCCAGGCCGTGCTTGTACTCCACCTGGTCGTGGTCGTGAAGCATCTCGACGGCCCAGCTGAAGTTGACCCCGCGCCTTATCGACTCCCGCTCCATCCCGTCCTCGCTCTGCGGCTCGGGCACGCGCAGTCGCTCGTCGATGGCCAGCCCCTGGCGCTGGAGGTCCCTCACGTCCATCTCGTTGCCTCCCCCCGCGTTCTGTTGGAGACTCGCCATCGCAGGCGACGATGCTGAAGAAGAAGAAGAAGAAGAAGACCCGAAGTAGTATCGTCCCCCACCCAGCGCGTAGCGCTGACTCCACCCTCCTCGACTCATTGACCTCGCAGCGTACATGATAATGATGACAATATTCTTCTCCTTCTACTCTATCTTCTCTCCTTCTTCTCTACTCGTGAGTAGCTCTTGTGTTGTTGGTGTGATGATGGTTGGTTGTTGAAGTGTTCTGGTTGTGGCTTGGCCGCCTCTTGGACGCAGAAAACCTGGCAAACCGGGAAATTTCCCTTCGCCCCGGCGCGCGCAGATTGGCGGTGTGCCGTTCTCAGCAAGAACGCCTGGAAAATTCTCAGGTCCTGATGGCAGCTCCCGCCCTTGGGCTTTCCCTCCTGGTTGGGCTCCTGCACGCCCCACTGTCGGCCTGTGTTACTTGAACTAGTTTGGTCTTCTACGGAAGCTGCTAGACGAAAGGGGAAAGCAAAGGGGGGGGGAAATGCCATAGGTTTCCAGACAATGGCGTTTTGGAGGGAAGAGCTTTGTGGGAGATCTTGGTAGACAAGAGAGACGGCAGTTCAAGACATGTGGTTGATACAAAAGAAAAGAGAAGAGAAATGAGGTGGAGGTGTGAGAGAGACCGTCTGAACATGATCAGACAGAGCTAGACAACGCCAGCAGTAGAGGGGGAAGAGAGGAGGGCCTCAATGCCAAGCTGGCGCTTGAGGTCAGTGTTGAGGAAGGGAATTGATGCACAGCCTTCAAGGACACAGACCTGCATCCTCATAAACCACCACTCCCACACCGTCCAAAGCATGTCCATGGTGGAGGTGCCACCATAGCAGGGAGACCAGTCATGGAAGGTGGCCTTCAGCATGGACTGAAGGGTCTTCATGCTGTCATTGCAGAAGGGGCAGAGCCCCCCAGCACTGAGAAGGTCAGTGGCATGCTCAGCAATCTCATGCACATAGTTGGGCTGATGGTGGCTGCAGATGATGGTGGTGAAGGTCTCCATGACCTGCCTCATGTTCACCTGGAACCACACCATGTCTTCCTCATGAGAAGGGAGCAAGGGGTCAAAGATGTACATGATGTGGAACAGGCGGCGGACTGATTCACAGTCAGCCACCTCCAGTGGAACCCCAACTGCAGCACAGATCATGGGGAAGGCCTGTCAAGACAAGTTGAAATTGTGCAGATGTGAGGGCAAGACAAAGGGAGAAGGAAGTACCTTGAGAAGAGCAGCTGCATGGCAACCTTTTAGGTGCCAGCCTTGCATGGGCACCATGTTGGAGATGGTGAGGTGCACCCATTGGCCAAACAAGACAGAGTTGAGCTTTGAGGGAAGGGAGAAAGGCGATGTGAGCAAGCAGAGGGATGAGGGATGAGGGGGTGAGGCACAGTCAGCTTACCTTGACCAAAAGGACTTGGTGGTCTGGCTGGTTCATTGTCCAGTTGTGGAGCCAGTCAACCACCAGGTCGCCAATGCAGGTGAGTGCATGTAAAATGCAGAACACGACGTCATAAGGCTCAACACCTTCTACCAGGGGCTCAGTGCAAGAGGGATCCAGATAGCCTCCCAGGCCCTGTGCAGCGGCCTGTCTGCACACAACATCAACACAAAGCAGCCAGGAGGATTGCAAGCCAGGGAAGTGGCACAGCCAAAAGCAGTAGATGCAGCACCATTCCATCAAGCTTGGCCCTTGCCAGAGGAAGAACCAAAGCATCAGATCATTGGAGCACACTCAAAGGGTGACAGGCACAGTGAAGGATGGCTTGTTGCTGGGCCAAACAGTCACAAAGCCATTTGCCTTGGCCTCAGAGAGGTAACTGCATGCAGGCAAGTGTGGGAAGTGAGCAAGAGGCAAGTGGATGGAGGAAGGAAAAGGGGAACCTGTTGTTGGCATGGAGGATGGCTTCAAGGTGAGGCAAGTGGGAGGTGGTGTGCATCAAGACACTCAGGAATTGGAAGTGTAGAGTTTTGCACAGACACCCAAGGTTCCAAAACATGTAGGTCTCAGCGTAGGTGGACTGGCCCCCTTGAGGGTATTCATCCATGCAACAGATGATGTCTAGACAAGTCACATATTGGAAGTGTTGGGTGATGAAGGGGTGGGAGAAGACGTAGTTGATGATGTCAGAAAGTGGCCAGACTGTTGCAGCATGACCATTCAACACAAATGTCCACAAACCACAGACCTTGGTGATCTCATCATGCCAGAAGGAGTGAACAGACTCCACCAATGGGAGGAGACAGGGAACCAGTGAACCTGAAGATGAGAAGAGTGAGCAGACATCAGTGAGTAGGAGTAGAAGACATACCAGTAGACAAGTGGAGAGGATGATTTTGAGGGTTGTGGGGATCCTTCCCAAGGTAGAAGATGAGGTGTTTGTACTGACTGAATCGCCTTGTTGTCTGTGGTGAAAGTGTGTTTATTGCATAAGAGAAGAGGATCACAAGGTTCCTCATGAGGTGGTGTCCTTGCTGTTTTGCCTAGCTGTGGTATGCCTGTGAGGAGGAGCTGGCTGGGCGCGAAGGCGTCTTTGCTGTGGGTTGTTGATGAGCTTGTGATCTTGTGTCATTGTGTGGTGCATGCTTTTCAGCATGACCACAAACTCCATCCCCTTCTGTTGCATTGGGGAGGGCTCGTGGGAAGGCAGAGCTGGTAGGTGGAGGGAGGGATGTGGTGCTGTAGTAGGGGTGGTGTGAGAGTGGAGCTGCTGTAGATGTGGCCAGAGGAGTCAGATGTAGGGTTCTTTCTTTGCCCAGTGGCCGGCGCTGAGATGAAAGTGGTTGGTAAGCTTGGCAAGCTTCTCTATTGGTAGGTGCTGGAGTTGGTTGTGTGTGTAGAGCTTGTTGACATCAATGCCCTACACAAAACATCTTTTGTTTTTGTACTACATGTGCAGACTGAGAGTTGGGGGCGGTGGCATACCTTAACAGCCAATGATGGTGTGGCAACTGGACTCTGCCAACAAGACATGAACACATGTTAAGATACAAGAGAAAGAGGGAGAGAGGCTGGCATGTACCAGGCTTTGTGTTCTCTTCTTCCTCTTCCTCTTCCCCTTCCCCTTCGTTCTCTTTGTCCTGTGACCTGATCTTGTCCTTGAATTTCTGTGGCTCTGAGCTGGGTGTTCCTGATGAGGATTCTTGCTTCTCTTGCTGACTGTACTCCTGCCCTTGCTCTTTGGTGGGCGCTGGCGCCTTGCTGTGTACATGGGAGCTGATGGCCTGCACAGACAAGACTTAGTCATTCCCAGACTGGAGCAGAAAAACGTCTAGATGTACCTCCAGTTGCTGCATTAGGCCAGTGTCTATCTCTTTGTGGGTGGGCACATGGCTCTGCACTCATGCCTGGAGCCAAGGCCTGAGGCTTTCTGCCACAACACCTGCATCAGTGGGCTGGTACACCACCTGCCAGATGTGGCCACTGTGGTCAGCATTGGTCCACAGGTGCCTGATGCACCACGTGCAGACTTCAATGTTGTGTGGTGGGACATGCAATGCACAGGTGATGCACTTGAACACTGGGCGTAGCACAGCACAGGCACTTGTCACATGACTTGGTTGGGTGCTCTGGCTCCATGTTGTGCATGAGGAGCATGCCTGCAATCTGTATAGACAAATTAGCATAGTGTCTGGACATACACTCAACAGGAATGGTTTGTGTACACTAGGCCTGGTGGCTTAGGCCTCTAGCCCCTGGTTGCTCTGAGGGGGGGAGGCTGTGTGTGACATGGCAGGATGCTGTACCTTGGCTAGGATCTTGTCTTCCTTCACATGGGCTAGAATGATGAGCTTGCTGCTGGACCATGTGTTTAGTGTTCATGTACTGTTTTGTCTGCTTTGGCCTTCTTCTCTGATGGCTCTTGCATCAAGGGGTCCTTGTAGGCCGCTGCTGCTGGGGTGTTGGGGTGCTTGTGCTTCTTGTGATGGTGGTGGTGCTGCTCCTTGGTGTCTAGCTTCTGCTTCAGCTCCACCACCTCTGCTGTGAGCTTCTCATTCTTGGCTTGCTGCACATTCCATGCCACTGGTGAGTGTGTTGTGCAATTTGCAAGACATGGAATACATACCAGTCCAGACACTGCTTGGTGATGAAGTGTCTGGTGGTGCTCCAGTTGCCATGCCATGATTGCTGTTGCCAAGGTGGGGTTGTCTTGCGCCTCCTGCCAGGTCCACTTGGTCTTCTTGTTTTTGTTGTACCATACATGATGAGCAAGATCTTGGCTGTTGTTGACACTACCTATTGTGTACTACACTTACACAAAGCTCTGGTTAGATTGTGCACACAAATTGTTGATGTCTGTACCTTCTTGGGTGTCTTGGAGCTCTTTTGGTCCTCTTCTTCTTCCTCTTCTGTGTTGTCATCTTCCTTGCCATTGCTGTTGTTGTTGTCCCCCTCCTCCTCCTCCTCCTCCTCCTCCTTGTCACTCTCAGCCTTGTGATGTGCATGGCTTGACTGAGTGTGCTTTGCAATGGGCCCCTTCTCCTTTGACATCTGCCTCCCCTTGAAGTGGTGGTGCCTGTAGTTGGTTGTGTTGATGTTCTGGTTGTAGAGGTTGTGCTGTGCTGCTGCCAGTGTGGCATTGAAGGTCTTGATGACAGGCATGTAGATTGTCTTGGCTTCCACAGGGGGGGTTGCCTGCTCCCATGACTGCAACATCATGAAGATGCCCCACCAACAAAACTGATCCATTAAGACCCTGTCTAATGTTAGTACAGTGACAATGTACATGTAGGTTGCTTCTGCAACATAGGAGTCAGCTTGGTGCATTGTGCACTTGCGCAAGTTGAGGTCTTGGTTGAAGTAGTGCTGCTTGCAGAACCTGTGTACATCCATGTAGTTTGTGTTGCACTTGTCTAGCACTTGCACCACATCAACAAGGATGTCTGCAAACATGCAGTTGGTGAGGTTAGCATTGATGGACCATGTCCACTCAATGTGGGCAAGCTCTCACAGCAAGCCCTTGAGTTCAGGCCATATGACTCCCTTCTTGAAGGTAGTTGTTGAGCACACAATCAAGCAGTCACTTTGCTCCTGCCATATTCCCCCCCCCCAATGCCCACAACTGTGTATACACACACATTACCATTACAAGTTGCAGCTATTCAACACACAGACAACCATACCTTGAAGTGACCAATCTCATCTAGGTGGATCCTGTGTGGTGGTGGAGCCTCAGTCTTGATGGGGGCTTGGTTGACTGCCTGGGGTGTGGCCATTGCTGCCAGGTGGCCCAGCACCTGTCTCATGTCTAGGTTGTGCTCCACCAGGAGTTCAGCAAAGGCCTGAGGAGCAGGGGTATTGTGGTCCATGGTGATGCAGAGCTGGTGGTCATTGGAGCAAGAAGAACATGTTGGTGTGGTGGCTGTTTTATATGATCAACCAGCCCTCAAAATCTCTGCACATACTGAGCAGGAACCTGTATGTGTCTAGCCAATACTGCCAGCCTGCTCTTCTTGTCTATCACGCATTCCACAGTCTTTCTACGCCCAGACAAGGGTGTGCAAGCGCCCAGAGTTGGAGCCATACTATGTGGGATCCTTGATTTTTTTTGACACCCGCTTCTACCATCCATGCCACCCATCAGGATATTTAGGCTGTCTGCGATGTGTCTGCCACTTTTTCAGGCCGCCAAGCCCTAAACTAGTTCAAGTAACACAGGCAGACAGTGGGGACTTTTCCAGGCCTGCTGTTGAGGCCAAGTGCAACCCACTGTGCGCCTTGGCAAGGTGTGGGTGGTTGTGACAAGTGCTCAGAGCTGCAAGGGCAAGGTTGTTCTGACAGAAGAACAAGAGAAAAAAGAAGGGAAAACAAGATTATTTAATATAACGTTTTGTGGCCATGTACAGCGAGGTGGGCGCACCAGCGCAAACTGACCTCTATGCATTGATGTATTCGCCAAGCGGGCACTACGATGTTGGAGCCGAGAATGCCGAGGCCCTGCCGAGCCAGTGTGAAACCGTCGACCAGCCCCTTGCCCAGCTGAACCTCCCACAAGTCACCCCCGTTGGTATTTCCTCCAGCAGGAAGCATGCTGAAACGTAATTTTAATAATTTTAATATTAATATTGAAAATTATTTTATAATATTGAAAATTCTTTTGCAGACAAAAAGGCATGGTGGCACCCGAGCAGCTGGGGTCGTCAGCCGGCTCCGCAGCCACACTTCTACAACGTGGAGTGGCGGCCGCAAGAGCGACATCCACAACCTGTGCAGCAGCCGCCGCCCCACGGCGCCTACGGGGCCGTCGACCCTTTCGGGGCCTGGGTGAGCTCTCACACTTGTGCCAATGGGCTGTATGCGTTCATTCACTCACCCTCGCACTCTGCGCCACACCCTGCTGCGTGATCGTGTATGGCTGGCCAGCCCATCATGCAGTCCCAGGCTCCTCCGCCACAGCAAGCGGGCGCGCAGTGGAGCCAGCCATTTCAACCGATGGTACTCACCATTTCATTTTTATTTTGGGACCGCTTCGATCGAAACTGCTGTTCTCACCACCCCACCCTCACCGCAGCCCATCAGCCAGCAGCAAATCGCACGGGTTCTGCCGAACCACGCGCGCCGCGATGAGAGTCCCAGGAAGAAGAAGACGAGGAAGATGGAAGGTGAGAAGGAGAGCAGCAGCAGCAGCAGCGGGCTGCACTCTGACTCATCACCATCGTCGTCATTATCGAGTCTGCCGGCCTCTGGCTATGTCGATTCGATCAACCAGTCGTCGCCACTCGACTGCTACGTGTTCGCGCCGTCGTCGTCGTCGCTGTCAGCGGCCACGACCATGGACTACGGGTCGACGGGACAGACTCCACAGCCGACTGGTCCTGCGCACTATTACGAACCGGTCTACATGGACGCGTCGCCGACCGCCAGCGGCCCGTTCGCGCCGCGGGTTATCTTCCAGGCCTACGGCGCTCCAGTCGTGGCCGCTGCGCCTGCGCCCTCGCCCCCAGCACGCGTTAGGGACTGGAACGAGGTGTTCCATTCGCTTTCGTTTTCGCTTTCGCTTTCGCTTTCGTTTTCGTTTTCGTTTTTTTGAAAGTCTCGTTTGTGTGGACTGCGCGCAGGAGTTCCAGCGGGTGCGAATGATCCCGCAGCAGCACAGAGCGGAGCCCCTCTACCTCCTGACCAAGGACTTTGTGTCGACCGCCACGTCCATCGGTACGCCGCATCTGTACACCTAACCTCTTTACCACGGACGTCTATTGACGCACATTACGCACACACGCCACGACCACACGCACACATCACCGCACACGCACACAACACCGATACAGGCAAGAAGATAATCATGGAGGCGCACACGGCCGAATGGTTGAAGACCATCCAACCCAAGGACGCCGGCGGTGTGGCCGGCGGGGAGAAGTACATCGAAGAGGGCATCTTCTTCAAGTTCGCCAAGGACTCCCTGGGCCTCTACGGCGGCGACGAATTCGCGGCCAAGGGTTCGCGTCGCCACCCCCTCCCCCCGGGATTGTTGTGTCGTTGGTCGTTGGTCGTTGGTCGTGTGGTGTCGTCTTTGTGGGTTTCGTGTGTCGTGTGACATGGAAAGCTGGGCTGACGAGAAACGCTACAGCCTGCAACCACGAGTTGCGCGGCCTCAATGCCCTCCTGAATTGCTGGGTCGATGGCCTCCACTTTCCGTACGCTTGCCTCCCCCGTCCCCCCTCCCCCCGCACAGCGCCTCCCGCTCACCTATCGCCCATCAGGATGCTTTGTCTGGTCGATTTCCTGGGCTTCCGCCTGATCGCCAGGTTTTTGTGATCTTCACTTCGTCATTTGATGGCCTTTTTTCAAACCTTCTTCCTTCCTTCCTTCTCATTAGCTCGATCCTTCCCATCACCAATAAGACGCTGATCTACGGCAGGTACCTGTGGTCGTGTGCGTGTGTGCCGTGTGTGCCGTGTGTGCCGTGTGTGCCGCCGTGTGTGTGCGTGGCAAACCCTGAGCACAGTTTTGGTTTCACCACCTGACTCAACTCTGGTGCAGCGGCGACGGTGGCTTGACGGTGGCCAACTCGTCCCCTGAGTTTGGCGACAAGGTGGCCCTGGCCGCCCGCATTCTGAACCTGAAGGCGCACCTCGTTGGCCGTTCCGGGTGCGTACCACCTCGTCCTATTGCCAGGCCACCCACTGAAGCACCCCTTACGCGGGCGTGTGCGGCTGGGACACAGCACGCCGCAGCTGCTTCATCTGGCCGGCGATGTCGAGGGACACAAGGGCACCGATGGACGCTTTTACATTCTGGACACGGCTCGGGTATCGTTTCTTCTCTCCGCGACTCATCGCACGCGCACAACCGCACACGCCGCACGCACGCTAATGCCCACTTGTGTGGCTCACAGGTGTTCCCGCCTGATGTGCCCAAAGTAAGGTAAGCTAAGCTAAGCAGCTCTTCCAACCTCCGCGCGCGAGTGAGCTGCGTTCGACACAACCCTCATGCGCTGGGTGGGTGCTGGGTGGGCGTGTAGCATTCGGTGTGGCCACCTGTACCGGCTGCTGCGACCCGAGCTGGTGAAGCAAAATCCGGTGCCCCTCTCCAGCGACGCCTTCAGTCGCTGGGGCCTGCACCGCGCTGCTCAGCACAACAAAGAGGTGCCCATCGCACACGCACACGCACCACCGCACACAAACACGCACACTCACCACCGCACACGCACCACCACACACGCACCACTGCACGCGCACACGCACGCGCACGCGCACACGCACACGCACTCGCACCACCGCACACGCACCACCACACACACAATTGCACGCGCGTGTGAGCGCTGAATTAAGCTTGGCCAGGTGGTCGAGGCGGCGCGCCGGCTCACGAGCGAAATCATTCCCGCCTTCATCGCACACCTGCGCGAGACGCTCGCCGACGGGTCCGGGGGTGAGGGACATCACCACCGCGGCTCGGGCGTCCTGTTCGACTTCTGGCCGACCAACATCGGGACGCACATCGACGGCGAGCTGCTGACGCAGCAGATGCACCGGCGCGGCATCAACGCGCGCTACCTGAGCACCATCTACACCGCCCTCGCCACCGCACCCGACAGCGGTAACGAAACACGCACACACGCACACACGCACACACGCACACACGCACACACGCACACACGCACCATCGCACACACGCACACACGCATACACGCACACCCGCACCATCGCACATGCACACACGCACGACGCGCTTACTTTGTTGTCGCACAGCCGAGGCTGCGGCCAAGCTGGTGATGACCGAGATGGTGGCGCGTGTGGTCAAGGCTATGCTCCGCACTCGTCTGCGAGCAGCCGAAGAGGTCCTCCACCATTCATTCCGTTTGGTTTGGCGTGGGGTCTCGTGTCATGTGTCGCGCATGTCGTGTGTGGTGTGTGTAGTGTGTGTCGTGTGTGTGGTGTGTGTCGTGTGTGTCGTGTGTGTCGTGTGTGTGTGTGTGTCGTGTGTGTGTGTCGTGTGTGCCGTGTGTGTCGGCCTCACCCGATCACCACCACCAGACGGATTCGTGGGCGCGGGCGCGAGGGGAAACGGTCAAATTGTTCAACGCCCTCTTCTTCGGGGACGCGCTGCTGTCCACGATCTGCACCGCCCTCCTCACCAAGTTCGAGCTCCAGCTCGACCAGGCAACCGGTGCGCCATACATCTTCAGCGGGTGCTGTGCGTGTGTCGTGTGTCGTGTGTCGTGTGTCGTGTGTCGTGTGTCGTGTGTCGTGCGTGTCGTGTCATGCGTGGTGTCTCGCCGCTGATGATTGACCGACGACGCAGTGAAGCGTGGTATCGACCGCGAGGCGCTCTTCCTGCGACTCCAGAAGATGGCCGGCGCCCGATTCGTTCACGACGCCATTCACAAGCTCCGGCGACGACCGCCCGCCACCCACCAAGCCTCGTTCGCCGAGTCCGACATCGTCGAGCTCGAGCCGACCGTCAAATCGATGAGGTGCCCCTTTCCACTTCTATCGACCAACCGAGCTCCAGTGTTTGACCGCCGTCGATTGGGCGCGCGCGGGCGCACCAGGTTCGTATCGATGTACGAGGGCTTCGCACTACTGCGCAAGGCCGAGGAGGCCGTGGCGGCGCCCGCGGGGCAGCAGCCCGACGAGCCGCTGGACCAGCAGCGCCGGCTGTACCTCGAGGCCATCGACAAGTTCAAGGAGGTGCCACTTTTCTTTCTCTATTTTTTGTCTAAGCTTGGACGGTGGTGTTATAACTCTGCGCGTTGTTCACCAACAGTGCCTGAGCGCGATGCCGGACGAACCGAACGCGATGATGAACTGGGGCTACGCCTTCATGAAGCTCGCCGAGATGGAGCACCGGCCCGACGTGTACGCCTCGGCTCTCTCCCTCCACATTCCAACATTCCTGGCTGCTCGCTGACGTGGCATTTTCCGACAGGGCATCGCTGCTCTTCGACGCCGCCGTGGCCAAGTACGAAGAAGCGCTCGGCATGAAGTACTCGCTCAACGCTTCCATCTACACCCAGGTGCGTGTGGTGTGCTGCGCGTGCGTGTGCGTAGGTGTGTGCGTGCCATTGCTAACGATGACCCGGGCAGGCCCAAGCGATGTACAATATGGGGCTGTGCTTCTACCACCACGCTGGGTTCCTGCGGCGCGCCAACACCCAGCCGGAGCAGCAACGGGCGCCCGACGAGAGCTCGGGTAGCCGGCGGGAGGAGGAGCTCCGGCTTCTGGCTCGGGCCGAGGCGCAGTTCGCCGAGTTGCATGGGAGCGGGCGCATGGGCCAGGTCAGCGGCAACGTACTCTACCTCCTCGCCTGCGTGCACGCCCTCACCAACAGCGAACACCAGTGCCAGGTACCCACACACGACACACAACGACACACGACGACACACGAAACCGCACACACATGCGCACGACACACACGACACACACGACACACACTCACCAAGCACGCATCGGGAGCAGGAATGCCTGGAGGGCGCTTTGACTGCGGGCCAACTGTCCCAGGCGCTGCTCGCGCGTGATGAGTTCCACGCCCTGCGCGATCGCGAGTGGTTTCGCCTGCTCCACCAACGCGCGCCCGTCTGAGGTTTTTGTCGCTTTATTTTTATTATTTTTTTTTCAATCATCATCACCACAACCACTATCACCAACCGCCTCGCGCCGCTGTGCCAAATCGTAGCGTGAAGCGGAACTGGGCGTCGTCTTCGTACCACTGGTTGAATGCCGTCCCTAGCCCACCAGCGCAAAACACCACACCCACGCGCACACGACACGACACGCACGACATGCAGATACACGCTCAAGTCGGACTCGCTCAAGGCGACGGGCGGGGTGCTGGCCGGTCGTAAGCGCGTACCCCAGAGGTTGTTGAACAGGTTGACGTGCATGCCGCCCTCGCACCGGGGCTGTTCGCGGCCGGCGAAGTCAAGCAGATGGTGCGTGTCACCCGGCGCCACGAGTGCCGCGTCGAGCGTGTCGATGGCCAGGAACACGTCGCCCTTCTCGTACCTTTTTGATTTCTTTTCGTTAACACCACCACCACTGGTGTGTCGTGTCGTTGGTCGTGTCGTGTCGTGCCGTGCCGTGCCGTGTCGTGTCGTGTGCGTGTCGTCCAAGTGGGCAGCTAGAGTACCGAGCACCGGTCCACACTGCGTGAAGATGGCGACTTCCGTTGATCATGACGTCGTAGGGGGAGACCGGCGAGCCCTGCGGACGAGGCGAGAACAAGCCGTGAGCCAGGGAGCACACGATACGTTGTTACCGTGGCGCCAAACTCTCTGACGGTAAGTAGTACCATGACGTCCAGAAGCCATGCGGTGGAGTCGTGCACCACGCCGGTGTTGGGCACGAAGGAGAGCCACATGGCCTCGGCCAACCTGCGCGCGATCAGAGAGAGAGAGAGAGAGCGCGGGTGTGCAGCGCAGGCGCTGGTCTCACAAGTACCGGGTGGCCGGCTTCTCGAACCACTGCAGTTTGATGTCGATAGCAGGGCCACCTCGGCCCGCCACGAAATCGAACTCCACCGTGACCTGGCCATGTCACCGGCGGAAGTGGTTGTTGGTTTGGGCCGAAGCCGTGTCAACTCAGGAGTGGTTGCTTTGTACCTGCGCCGGTGCGCCGTATTTGGTCTGCGCCTCGTCGGGCAGCGTTAGCTGGAGAAGGAATCTGTCTTCTCCGCCCCGACGCCTTTCCCGCCGACCAGATGAGCACAGGCAAACAATGTCCGTGTGCGTGTGCGAGTGCGTGTGCGTGTGCGTGTTGTCGACAAGCGGGCTCCGTACCAGAGGGCAAGCAGCTTGGGCCGAAAGTCCTTTCGCTCCGTGTGGCCGCTGGCCCACATTCCTGTTGTACTCATCAATTACAAAAGACCAGAGGCACGGGAAGAAGGTAGGAACAAGCGGATGTACCGATCTTGTTGAAGTCGGGGCAGGGCACGCACTCTGGCGTGTACTGGCGGTTGAAGGAGTCGAAGTTGGACTCGTTGTAGGTCTGGTAGAGGAACGCTGCCAGGTGGTGTTCCGTCGTCGCCCTATTCGATTGCGGTGTGTCAATTGTGGACACTCGTTGGGTGCGTGTGTGTGTGCGTGTGCGTGTGCGTGTGCGTGTGCGTGTGCGTGTGCGTGTGCGTGTGCGTGTGCGTGTGGTTTGGAGGAGGCACCACTTGCGGTTGGTAGCCTTCTCCAGGAGGAAGTTGATCGCTCCGGTCGCCGGGTCGAACCCGACGACAAAATCTCTCGTATCGAACAAATCATCACCCATCACAACCTGACGGCGGCGCGCAAGTAAGCCAACAACGCAGCTGCACCCCGCGCGCTGGTCCCAAGTCTTGTACCCTCTGCCAGTCGGTCATATCGGGCTTCCGCGGTTGGAGCGTCTGCAAGCGCTCCTCGACGCGCTTGCTCATCTGACGAGCGGCTCCTGAGCCAATTAAAGACGGTTCAGCCACGCACGACCGAACGAACACAATGGGTTGTGTGTGTGTGTGTGTGTGGTGTGTGTGTGTGTGTGTGATCACATACCAGCATATCTGCCGCCGTGATCGACCGACAAGTCGGCGAGGAAGGTGGAGGTGTTGAGCAGGTACGACCTTTGTTCCTTCCAACCGTAGTCCAGCAGCCTAATGTCATCGTTGCTTCGATTGGCTCTGCACCATCGCCGCACCACAATAATGAAAAGAAAAGAAAAATCAAAACAACTCACACCAGCGCACAATCAACAACAACAACAACGTGGTGTACCCGAAGACGGTGTTGTTCCAGGCGAGGAAATAGGTGTAGTTGTGTAGGTAGGTGTAGGTCGACAGACCCCAGTTGTGCTCTGAGCGGCGTGCGACAAGCGATGATGAGTGATTGCACTGTGCGTGACGCCATAGCTAAGAGGTGCGAACTTACCGGGAATCTTCATGAGCCTACGCGAGAAGGCCTCGACCACCACGGCCTCGCCCGAGTCAGCGTGCCTTTTGTTGTCGGCGCTTCTGGTCAACTCGGCTTCCATAGAAGAGCGCAGGCGGCTTAGCTCGCGGAAGGCCGACAGCCTGTACGGGTCGGCTGCGATGCCGTACAGCCACGTATCGCCCATCTCTGCCAGCCAACCATTGAGGCGGTGGAGGAAGCGTGAGCTGTCAACAAATACCAAGAATTCTGCGCATGTGGGCGTACCTTGCGTAAGCCGCGGCAGCTGCGCCATGAGCGTGCTGTTTCCCAGGATGCCGCCCACAAACGCATCTAGAGGGAAGATAACAGTAATGTCAGTACATTGATACAACTCTACATGATTGGCATACACATACATGCATAAATGTCTGTTTGACATTATATTTATGTACCGAGCGAGGTTGCGGCGAGCTCGGCGTTGGGGTACTGAGCCTGCACGTCGCGGTAGAACTGGATGACCTGCGTGTAGTTGAGCGGCGCGGTGTTGTCCACGGTGAACGAATAGACCAGCGCCTCGGGTAGTCGGGTATGGTGATGTTGCCTCCGTAGTTGGGCAGTCCCCTGTGCGTGAGCGCGCGTGTGTTAGTAGTGCCACGAGGTGGTTTGCCTCGGCGAATGAGTACGAATGGAGCATTGTGAGCAATTCATCGGCTCCGTGCTGCCACCTGAACACTAGACCGGTCCCTGGTGAATGTACCACACGACAGCACACATGCAAAACACCACGCACACAGTACCTGGAGGTGCGTCCGCTGCCACACAGGCAGAGTTGGCGCCAATGTGGAGGGCCTTGACCTGGTGCTTCGCCATGATCGGTATCACTGCTTGGCACACAGCCGTGGTAAGCAATCACTCGTGGTGGGTGGGTGGTGGGCTAAATGGCGGATGGGCCTGGGGCACAGATGGTACCCGAGCGGGAGACGCCGGGCACGTCCTTGCTGCTCGCCGCGATCTTGCGAGTCTTGTTAAACCGGAGGTCGAGCTGCTTGGCCAGTGTGAGCCCGTAGCCAAAGAGCGAAGCGTCGGCCGCCTCCGGGAGCAGATTCATCGGCTTAGCGTGCCTGCGTTCGGGAGCGCGCGGGGAATCAGCAGCGGCGTTACGCTGTGTTGAGGTAGACGACGACGACAACGGCGAAGAGAATGATGAGAAATGAGGAAGGTGTGTATCTACCACGTCACATCGCCGCGTGCGATGGCGTCTTCGAGAAGCCGCTGCTGCTGCGGCGTACGGCCCTCCTTCAGGCAGCCTGCGCCATTGTCCAGGTACTCCAGCAGCAGCCAACTGTTTGGAGTGGTAAGTAGTAATATCGGAATGTCAATAGCGTGCGGAATGTAGGGAAGAGTACGGGTGGGAGGTGTAGATGAATCGCTCGGGCCTGCCCAGGCGCCGCAGCGTCTGGGCCGTGTCGATGGCGGCGGGGATGTGGTGGTAGAAGTACTCCCGGCAGATGTTGGCAACCAGGTTGGTGTAGCCCAGGTCCAGGTGCGTCTGTTCTCGTCACTGTCAGCCACCACGAGAGCCAGAAGGCGCCCAGATCGCCCCGGGGGGGGGGAAGCTCTATATAGTACCATGAAGACCAGGTGGACGTTGCGCACCCACGGGTAGGTAGGAAAGGGGGCCGCACTCGGCGAAGCTGCAGCATGTGGGTCGCCCTCCGCGCCAGGCAGGACGCCAGCGCACAACCACAGCACACAGCACAACTGCACCGCCACCCTCATAGCGCCACGATTTAAATGTTAATAAATTCTGTTCTTTTCTTTTTGTGATTTTTTTTGTCAATTCTTGCTTGGAAAAGCCAGGGAATGAAGTTCAAAGATCGGTCGGGGGTGCCTCGGGCCATTCTTCTTTTGATTAACGCACCCAGAGCATTTTGACGAGACCAGAGGAGCCATGACCCGTAAGAAGAGGACGACAGATGAACGCTCGTACAAGATCTACATTTTTAAGGTGCAAAACCGTCGCGGGGGGAGGGAGTGACAACCTGGTCGAGCTGACAGCTACAGCATGTTGTTGATGTTGTTTCTACCTAGGTGCTGAAGCAGGTGCACCCCGACACGGGCATCAGCGCCAAGGCGATGGCCATCATGGACTCAATGGTGAAGGACCTCCGGAGCCGCCTTTTCGAGCAGGCCAAGCTCCTGTGCGAGAAGAGCGCCAAGAAGAGCCTCGACGCCGGCGACCTGCAGGTACCACCCTGGAGCCATCTTCGCAACCAAACAAAACAAAATTAACTTCAAATAAAATAAAATGGAAATAAAATGGAACTAACTATTCTTCCAACCTCTGCTCAGGCTGCAGTCCGGCTGGTCCTGCCGGGTGAGCTCGCCAAGCACGGCTTATCCGAAGGTGGGTCGAGAGAATGACACCGTCACACGAATGTGTTGATTGTTGGCCATACCTTCTAGTTGCAACTCTGCTGACTGCAACTCTTTGCTGGTTCGCTTCTCAGGAATCAAGGCGTGCACCAAATTCGAGCAGAAGCGCCAGCCCGGCTCCTCGCGCGCCTCCCGCTCGCAGCGCGCAGGGTAAGTCCCATCGGCTTTCATTCGATCTTGGCCAAGCGTTCTAACGACGTATATGCGCTCATATCGTCGGCCAGGCTCCAGTTCCCTGTGGGACTCGCACTGGCGTGGCTCAAGGCCAAGTACGTCACAAGCACCCCTTCAGCTGGCAACTCTGCGCGTCTCCACACCACACACACACACACACACACACACACACACACATGAACACACACACACCACAACACACACCTACACACACACACCCTAACACACACCTACACACAGGTCGAAGTTGCGTGTGCGCGCAATCGCGCCCGTCTTTCTGTCGGCGGTGCTTGAGTACCTGGTCGCCGAAGTGCTCGAGCTCTCTGGCAACGCCGCAAGGGTCCCTTTGCCTCCGCCTCTCCTCCCTTTTCCACGCGTCACGCTGGCGATGGCCTCCTTGCCCACAAACCAACGATTGATGTGCGCCACAACTGTTAATATGTGCGTGCGCGTGTGCGTCATTACACAGGACTACAAGGTGAGGCGCATCAATCCTCGCCACCTGGTCCTTGCCGTGCGCGGCGACGAGGAGTTGGACACACTGATGGACAAGGTAGTGTTCCCCGGCGGCGGAGTTATTCCGCACATCCACAAGTCCCTCGTCTCCAAGCGTACTCCTACCTTACTTGTTTTTAAATCGTTTTAGCATTTGATCATTCCTGGTTCTCTGGAGCTGCAAGCGCACAACATATTGTAGATCGGGTTTCTTTGTTATTTATATCCCTTTTTTCCAGCAACTACAGCTGCGGGCGCCTCCGGCGGCGGTTTGTTTGGCGGAGCCGGCTTTACTGGCCCGACCAGCGGCGGCGGCCTGTTTGGGACATCGACCACAGGAGGCAGCCAGCTGGGTGGCGCTCCTGCCAGTGGTCTGTTCAGCAACAGCAGCGGCGGCGTCTTTTCCAACACCAGCGCCCCGACGAGCACAGGTTTCCACGCACGCAACATGGCGCGACGCAACACGCTGTTTGATTGCTCTGACGCTCTGTCTACAGGCGGTGGCGGCCTCTTTGGCAGCAGCCCTGGTGGTGCGCAGCCGGCGGCAGTCACTCAGTACAAGGTGATCGTGGCCGGTGATGGCGGCACCGGCAAGACGGCCTGGCTGGCCAAGCTCGTACGCCCAACCACCACCACCATCACACCCATCACCACCACCACCACCACCACCACCACCACCACCCCCTCCATCTTGTCCCCTCCCCTCCCAAGAGCGCACTAATCTCACCCGACGTTGCATCACCGCAGCTCGGCAACGATTTTCCCACGGCCTACAACCCAACGCTGGGCGTTGCGGTTCGATCCATCGACGAAGAGTCCCTTCGCTTCTCGGTATGGAATAACGCCTGCGCGCTCCCTCTTCCCAGCCGCGTGGTGGCCATTCTCATGTGGAGTGGTTCTCTGGGCAGATGTGGGATTGCGCCGGCCAGGAGAAGTTCGGCGGTCTGCGCGATGGCTACTTGTGCGTCCCACGCACGCACGCACAACACACACACACACACACACACACACACACACACACACACACACACACACACACACACACACACACACACACACACACACAACGGCACATGGCACACGGAAACTGATGTGATGGTGAGCACGTGCAGCATTGGAGGGCAGGCGGCCGTGATCTTCTTCGACCTGAGCAGCCGTGTCACCTTCTCCCACGTGACACACTGGCACCGGGACATCACCCGTGTGTGCGGCAACGTACCCATCATCGTGGTACATGCGCCGCTCACCGTCTTCCACCCACCGGTCGAAATAATGCCCCTAATGTCTACTGCTGGACCTACTACTCGGGGGGTCGGCAGGTGGGCTCCAAGTGCGATCTCGCCGAGAGGATGGTGGCGCCCGAGACCATAGCCCAGTTCGTGGAGGCTCGCGGGTTGGAGTACGTCGAGCTCTCGGCCAAGGAGGACATCAACACGCGCAAGCCCCTGGAGCTGCTGACCGCGAGTCTCACGTACGCGCGCACCCCACCACACACACACCCATCAATCGAGCACGTGGGTTGAACCGCTGTTGGTGTTGCGCACGACGATCTTCTCACCTCTCACCTCTCTGTCACCGGTGTTTTATGTTACATCTTCTCACAACACAGCAAGGCGACGTCGGCTGGGGCGCCGGAGGACGAGTGCAAGGCCGCCGCGATCCCCCTGTCAGGTGGCTTCGGTTCGAATCTCACCTCGACCTTGGCCCCGGCCTCAGCTTCCAAAGGTTTCTCGTGGGCCAGCGTGCCCGAGGATGAGCCCAAGGTGGGCGCGGGGTCGACCAGCTGGCCGGCACCACCGCTGTCTTCCGGCGGCGGCGGTGGTGGCGGTGGGTGGAGTTTTCCCTCCGCGCCGGCCACGACTGCACTCGACGCCGCCTCGACGGTCTCCGGAGACTTGCATGCGTCAAGCAAAGAGAGGCAGTTCAAGGTGCTATTCGTGGGCGATGGTGGTACGGGTAAGACCACGTTCGTTAAGCGTCACGTACGTATGTCGTGTGTGTCGTGTGTGTCGTGTGTGTCGTGTGCGTCGTGTGTGTCGTGTGTGTCGCGTGACGCCAGCGAATGCCAACTATTTTTATTTATTTCCCCCCCCCAGCTCACGGGCGAATTTGAGACGAAGTACGTGGCCACGCTGGGCGTGGAGCTCACCCCGCTCAAGTTCAACACCAACTACGGCCCCATCATCTTTAATGTGCGCACTCTCCCTCATCACTGTGCTGATGTCGACGCCTCTCTCACACATCTGCCCCCTCCAATGTGGTGTACTCTCTCTCTCTATGTGTGTCGCCGTTCAGGTGTGGGACGTTGCAGGGCAGGAGAAGTTCGGCGGCCTTCGTGATGGCTACTTGTGCGTTGCCCCCCCCCTCCGCGCTCTCCTCGCACTGCTCACACTTTCTCTCTTGCTTGCTTGCTTGCTCGCCCGTTTGCATGTCCACCAGCATCCAGGCGCAGGCCGCCGTGCTGTTCTTCGACACCACTTCGCGTGTGACGTACAAGAACATTCCCAAATGGCACGCCGAGGTCTCGCGCGTCTCTCCCGATGTCACTTTTGTACTCGTACGTACTTTCCTTTATTATTCAAAATTCCTAAAAATCACAATAATAAGAATAAATGATACTAATTCCTCAACAAATGGCCGGGGGGGGGGCGCTCAGGTGGGCAACAAGGTGGACGTCAAGGACCGCAAGGTGAAGCCCGCGCAGATCGTTTTCCACCGGAGGATGAACATGCAGTACTACGACGTCTCGGCCAGGTCCAACTACAACTTCGAGAAGCCGTTCCTCTACCTCGCGCGCCGGCTCACCGGGTACTCACTTAGCCCCCCGCCCTTGCCTTTCCCATGTGTTGCGTGTTGCGTGTTGCGTGTTGCGGTCGTAGGTTGCCTTGCCTGCTCACCTCACCCACGCGCACCGATGGCGTCCATGCAGGCATGAGGACTTGGAGTTCGTGGCCGACCCTGCACTCTTCCCTCTAAGCCCTGAATTGCTGGCTGGGGCGCCGATGAGCGGCGGCATCGTCAACGACGAGCCCAAGGCCGCTGTGATCCCCCTTAGTGGGTCGCTGTTCGGTTCGGCCTCGACCTCAGCTCCAGCCCCGGCCCCGGCTCCGGCCCCGGCACCGACCTTGGCTTCCGAAGGGTTCTCGTGGGCCAGTCTGCCTGAGGATGAGCTCAAGCTCGATGTTGCAGCGGCCACGACTATGCTCGACGCCGCCTTGATCTCAGCCTCTGGTACGCTGTCGTCTGGGTGGTGGGTGTAGGGGCACTCAACAACGACCACTGACAGTGAGCACCGTGTTGACGATTGGAATGTGGCGCGTGGCATGCACAGCGAGGCAGTTCAAGGTGCTGTTCGTTGGCGACGGTGCTACGGGAAAGACCACGCTCGTTAAGCGTCACGTACGTATGCCCTATGTTGTGTCGTGGGGTGTCGTGTTGTGTCGTGACGTCCAAGTGCCAACTTCCCAGCACACGGGCGAATTTGAGAAAAACTACGTGGCTACGGTGGGCGTGGAGCTCACCCCGCTCAAGTTCAACACCAACTATGGCCCCATCATCTTCAATGTGCGCACTCTCCCTCATCAGCTGCGCTTAACGC